GGGGTATCTAATCACAACAGATTTCATCTTCAGCTTGAAGATTGCACTTTATGGTATTCCTTTTGTCAAAATATTGTGTAACTTTTTCTTTAGCTTTATCAAAGCAAGGTCTCTTAGGGTTTTTGAAAAATTCCTTCTTTACCATGATTCTTGTCTTAACTGTTATACATTACTTACAGTAAATAATAGAAGTATAGCGAGAGTGAGCTAAAGCTAATAGTCCATATGTTAGTCTCATGTGGACGTGATGTGAGAAATAGTTTGAAAATACAGCGAATTATTGTTGCAAATGAGTAGAAATCAGCGGCAAAAAGACTCGGTTTAGCTACCTGTCTTCCAGCATTGATCATACCACTATTTCTCTTGTAACATTCCGTAATGTTTCACCGTGTTTTCCACAATCATTAGTCTTCAGAGACTGTCAAGGATTTCCTGACGCTACGTGACGGCTCCCAAACCTCACTGTCGTCCGTATCGTCACCGCCGTCCTCCTCTTCATCTCCTTCATCGTCATCCTCGTCTCCCATTCCTGTGCCGGTCTGCTCCTCGTTGGCCACAGACACCTCTCCCTGCGTCTCCGCTCCCTCTCCAGCTTCGCCTGCATCCGTCCTTCCTGCAGCCGCCTCCACGAAGGGATCGGCCCCCGTGTCCAAGCGTCGCTGGACCTCGGCAAACCACTCCCTCACCTTTGGACGGAGGGAGAAATGCATCAACTGTGTGATGACTGCACAGCTCTAGCGAACATTGAGGACACCAAAGGACACATATTACACATTTCTGATTCGTCAAGCACTTTTGCCATAGTTTGCCATGTTAGCGCCAAAAGCTGCAATCCGCCGGCTCAGCCATTGCCATGTTGAAAGCCGTTGAAAGACAATTCAAAAATCCCGTATATTGCATCATAAACATTTGTTTGTTTGAGGCAAAATATTAAATAAATCTAAATATTAAGTATTTAGTGCCAAATGGAAGCTGCTTGACATCCTCACATCCCAATGAAAAAGCATGTAATTACCTGTTCGTAGCTCATGTTGGTCTTGGTGACGAGCTCATCCAGGTCTTGCTCATTGAGGAAATGGTGCTTCATGTAGTACTCCTTCAGAATCTCCCTCCCAGTCTTGAACTTCTTTGGCGGGGGAGATCTATCGACATCTGCACTGGAGGAGGCGGACCTTCTTGGCTGCCTTCTGGTTCGGGACCGCCCCCACCCACGATTTCGGCCGCGTCTTTTTCGACCGGTGCTGCTGCTGCTGCTTCCCATTTTATTGCCTCCTCCGCCATTTGGCCCTTCGACGTTGCCACTTTGGTACTGGAAGAACCATTTCAGGTTACTGTTCTTCCATGAGTACCGGGAGTCCCCGAACCAGCTGACTATGTAGGACCGAAGGAGGCCGCTCTCTTCGGCCAGCTGGTCGTACTCTTCTGGTGTGGGCCACTGGGTCCGCACAAAGGCACTTTTGAGAATATGGAGCTGCTCTGGAGTCTTTTTACTCTTATCTTTCATGTCTTTGTTGCTGCTGGTGGGCAGCTGCTTACTGCGACCGCCGGGAGGTGTCTGACTACCTTTACGAGAAGAAGAGGCAGAAGGATAAGAAGAAATGCCTCCTCCTCCTCCTCTCGCTCCGTCTGCCTCCATCTTCCCTCCCTCTGAAGAATCCGGGGAGGAAGTACTGGCAGAAGGCATTTTTCGTCTCTCAGTGAACCAGGCATCAATCTCCCTCCGGGTCAGTTTAGTCTCTGTCCTCAGGCGGCTCAGTTCTTCATCTGATGGGATGCTGTTCTTCTCAAAACTTTCCTCCAGCACCACCAGCTGCTCCGGAGTCTTCTCCTTAAACTTCTGCAGAGTAAAATCTGGGAACGGATTCCATGTTTTGGGCCGCGTCTCCTTGTCCTTCACAGGCGGAGTGCGTGGAGGATGGGGAGATGTGGGGGTCTCATCGCTTGAGTCGATAATAATGGTGGTGCTGGCATTGTTGTTACCATAGCTGCCACCTCCTCTGCCCCCTCCGTCATGGAAAACAATGACATGGCTGTTCTTGGAGTTGCGCTGGTTGTACCTGGTGTCACTGAACCATTTCTTGATCTCTCCCTTTGTGAGGTTGGTGACATTCATCAGCCGGGAAATTTCTGCGTCAGTGACGAAGTGGTTCTTCAGGTAGCTGGCTTTCAGTTCCGCCAGCTGCTCTTTGGACTTTTTGGGCCGCAAACCGAATGCGTCAGCGCTGAGGGCCGAGTTCTCCTTAGAAAGGGGAGGGGAGATGTATATGTTAAATATGGGTTTCTTTCTACAGGGCCATTTCGCATACACGGGTACCAAATACCTGCTAGGACGAAGACAAAATGGCTACAGATGAGTTCAGACACACATTACATACAACTGATAGAGACACAATGTTGTAATTGTATGCATTGACTGAGGTCAAAACATTACTTACCTACAGAAATGTAATATTTGCCCGAAAGGCAGCACGCAGATCTGTGCCTACCTGTGGAGATAGAGAGGGAGGCTGGATGGTGGTAGCCCGTTTCAGCTCACTGTTTGTTGGGGTGGGCTGGCAGGAAACTCTGCTGGAGCTCTGGGACTGGCTGGGCAGCCCTGCCACTGTCAGAGTGATGGGACTGGTCACTGGAAGGTGCCCCCCTGGGCCGACCTTAACAGAGTCAGAAAAATAATGACACGGAGAATGTGAGGATGAGACGGATCGCAAGACCGGAACATATTTGTAGTTTAACGTGACCGCAGGCATTATCTACCTAAAACCCTAAAACCGGTTTTCGGTCATAATATTTCCATGTACTTGTATCACTGCACTTACATTTCCTTTCTCTTCTAATTTGTAAAATATGAGTCTGAGTTAACTATATAAAGTATATGATTTGTATTGGCCAGCCCTACTGCAAGATCATTCACATTAAACTAGAGAAACATCACAAAAGACTACTCATATCTACTAACAGTGAATCTGGTCAGCATTTTATGACCATTAATAGCCTGGTAAAATAATTAATAAAGAGATACATGGGCAACTATTAGATACATAAATAGATATACACTTTATCTCAGACTCAGGGTCCAGATATTCACACCATGTTCATGAAAACATAATTTATGCAAAGAAAAAGCAACCAAAGAAAATGTTTACTTCCACAGCTCAGGGAACATCGCTGACAGCAGTGTATCCTCCATATGTGATCTATTAAGGCTTTACTCTTAAGGCATTGCTGCCTGTTTAAACTGGTTCAATATATTTGAGGAAAGGTGTCAGACATATAGCAAGTAGGAAAAGTCAAAGTCATGTCCAATCAAAAATATCAACAGTCACATTGTTTCAAGTTAAATCAAATTCACACCAGGCTGACATGTCAAATGAAACCAGCCGAAACAAAGTCTAATAAAACCAAAGCAGGCGATCCAAGCCGGTTTCACTGAAAGCATTTCAGACCAGTCTGAAGGTAACTGGGTTCAAGACAGGGTAGGTCAAAGCCGAGTCCAGTTCAATATGGCGTGTTTTCTTTCCTTACCTACCTGTGTGAACACCAGGCCGGGCTGGCCCACTATCTGGCAGGTCTGAAGGATGGACTGCAGGCCGTTGGCAGCGGCTGAGAGCTGATGAGCCGGTATGACGGTGATGGTCTGAGGCACGGTGTGCACCGTGCCGTTAAACTGTTTCCTCCTGGCCTCCTCAACTTCTTCAGGAGTCCAGCTCACGCCGTGCTTCAGCCGCTGGGCTGAGAACCACACCTGGGTGGAGATCGAGTACATTTGACTCCACCATTTACAAAATGAGCAAAAAGGCAATATTAAATCGACTTACATTCTCTTAACTAAATAAATATACGGTGTAAGGAGCTTCTGTTTGTAGCTTTATGATGTAAAAGACGGGGGTGAACACAACATACTTTGTCACCTTTCACCTACCTTGATCTGCTCCTCTGTGAACTGTGTCTGCGCTGCCAGGCTGCTGATCTCGGCCATGGAGGGGTAAGGGAACTTCTTGTATGTGCTGCCCAGCAGGGGGTTGGTGTCCATAGCCGCACTGTAGGATGGTATGCTGCTGAGGGGAATCATCAGCTGAGACTGAGCTGCTGCTGCTGCACTCTGCTGGGCCTGGAAAGCAGAAAGCACCTGAAATAAAGGAAGAGACAGGGAGGAGATTAAGAAAAGTCTGGACTGATAATGCTACGTAGTGGCAAAATAAAAAGAAATTTTAAACTGACAGCTCGAGCTCTGTTTGGCAAGCTGTTGTCCTGCCAAAGGGTCTCTGTACAAGACAAGGAAGTTTACATCTAACCTCTCTGTTGAGGATATTTAACATTATGGCCACCAATTACCCACAGCCTACCGTCGCATTTAGGAGTGCAGGCTACTGTTTAGTTTAGAAACATGCATTAATCTTTCACAGATAGGGGTATTGGAGTATTCTTACACACCAGCTGCTGTAATGAGTCGTGGAAACTCTTGTCTAAGAAGACTTTCTACCTGTGCCAGGCCAGCAGGCAGAACTGCGGGGTTTAAAGTGGCTGCTTTCCTCTGCTGCTCTGAGTACGGGCTGACCAGCAAGCCGCCTCCCCCGAGCTTCATGGCGTCGTGCAGCAGCATCTCCACGGGCGTCATTGGCCCGAGAGGAGCTTCGATGGGCTCCTGATCTCCCTCAACCTCTCCCTTGCGATCCCTTCCAAAACCCTCAACCGCCTCGTCTGTGGATTTTAAGGAAACAGCGATCCTTTTGGGTTCAGATTTGGTCTTCATCCTCATAATGGGGGTCTTGCTGAGGGAAATGGCCGCAATCGCTGCAGGGTCTGCGCCTCCCTCTTCGGGTGTATCACACTGTTGCTCCTGGTCACTGCTCAGATCCTCAGGAGGGTTCGTAGCGCTGCGCTTCAGGGAGGGAGCAAGGACTTCGCTGTCTTCTACAGTGGAGACACTGGGCTCATCTGTGATTATAATAATACATTCATTGACACAGGTTATGTATATGTCCAGCTAACAAAGGGCCATTGTTGTCTACACACGGGAGAATAAGCCAAACAGAATCGTACCTGTATCTGGAGGGGTGGGCACGACCACTACTGCCTGATCCAGCTCCTCTGCAGTCGGCCCCTCCTCTGCTCCCTCTTTAACCTTTCCCTCCTCCTCCTCCTCCTCCTCCTCCTCCTCCTCCTCCTCCTCTGCCTCTTCCTCCTTTGTCCTTTCTGTTTTCTCCTCCACCACTTCAGAGGGCAGCACCATGCAAGGTGTGGTCGATTTCCGGCGGCTTGACATTGTCAAAGCACACTCTGTTTACTTCTACTCACGGTAAAGAAGATCTGGGACAGAAGTGTCGAGGCTCACATGTCTTACGTGGTTGTGTTCACATGCAAGAGTCCTTGATTTACGTACTTCTGGTGGAGGAAACCAAACAAATATGCAAATGTCATAGAAGGGAGAAGTGTTATTCTCAGATACTTCTTTCATAGATAGCAAACTCTCAAATGCTCCTTTTGGTGATTGGCCGTACGCAGCTCCTGTGGTGTTATAAGTCGTATAAAAATCCGCTTCACGTCTGTGGGGACTAGTTTTCCCTTTCTGCTTCCTATGTGTAGAAATTGTATACCTTTAGGAAATATGCGTCACTTAGACAAAGGAGGTATTTTAAAGCTAAAACTGTACATCTGAATATCTTTGAACTGTTGGTTAGACACAACAAGCAATGTGAAGATGTGTCCTTTGGGCTCTGTCTATTTTTACATCGTATGCAGCAGAGTTTTATAAAATCCTAAAACAATATTCCACATGGACATGAACTTTAATACTGACTTGTCGCCCAAACCTTCATTCAATATGTATCACAAGGCAAACCCACAAAAAGACAGGTAATTGATATTCCAACACTAGCAGGGCCCCAAATTATATCACTGATTAATTCAACCAACACCAGGATATGCTTTACATTTTCTAACTAACGTTACACATTGTCTGGTAACTGTTAATGTTTGATTTCAGTCTTCAAGACAGCCCAGCAGTATGCCTGAGGATCATTGGTGCTGGTGAAGTCTGTTAAATAGATTGCACAGTGGTAACAATAACGTTATTAACTGTGTGTACTCTATGCTGTGCTGCCATCGTGAGATTAGGATTAACAGTTAGCACATCAATAACAATTTGGAGATGTGCGCTAGCTAAACCAAATGATTAAAGTAACGTTATTAAATTAAAATAAGAGGACATCTAATCTAGCTATGAGGCATCTAGCATGTATGTGAGGTGGGCCAACTAGCCGGTGTTAGCCGGGGCAGTCATCACTATTGATCATGTCTGGCGGTAAACTTACTGGAACTACTGAAACGTGCACTGTGTTGCTACCAGGCGGTCCAGGCGAGAAGTGATTCCCTGAGAGCTTCGGGTTCAGTCTGTCGGTGTCTCTCCTTCTCCCGGTGAACCATCAGCCGCAGCCGGGCCGGTACTCGGTACAGTAGCTAGCTAGCGTTTACGTTTTTGGGGCTTGCGGGTCTCCAAAACCCAGCGGAGGGAGGCAGACAGACGGGCAGACAGACAGACAGACGGACCGGTCTATCGGCTACGTCTCCGTCTGCAGATGCTGGAAACACCGGACATCTCTCACCTCTTTCAGGTTATGTTGTGCCCGAGTCGCGCCTTTGTTAAAGTTATAGTCAAAACACGGTAGTCACAGTCATCGGGTGGCCGTTGTACTGCGTTAGCTTGCTGACCTAATTCTGATATTTTTTTTAACGGCAGATTTTTTTTTAATGATCTAGGCGTCATCATTCAATGTGATACGTCCTGACGTCATTCCTCGGCGACTCTCGGTGCTCTAACAATTTAGGAAATCTGGCAAAAATATACAATATTTTACTATTAGGAGGTTGCTCGAGCAATGCGTTGCCTAGAAAAAGCCACGTGTTATCGAATGTTGTTTAAAACGGAGACTCGTCCGTTCCCCGACCGGGCTGTCTGCCAACGTGTCCTGACATGACCTGTCAGGGTAGAATAAGAAGCCATTTGAGGACGACACTGACTTCACTGTTTCTTCTCCGGACACTTGATCACATCTTTTGTTGCAGTTCAGACATTTCTGTTAATTTCAACCGCTTGCTCCCACACGTATATATTAATACCTGCGCATAAATAAAACGCAATTATAGATAGCTGACTTTGTAGGTAGATCATTTCAAAGTCAAATCTATTTGGATCCCCCTGCTACTAAAAACGATCAACACGGGAGATGAACTAACACAGGAAGATGTTATTACTAGGGTGTAAATGGAACTGGTATTTCCCAAATGCAGTGAAAATGGACGTCAGACAAGGACACAATCTATGGCTGATAGAAAACTGGGATTTACTGCACACTTTTTGAGTAACAGTTTATTATTGCATTTCCATTAAGCTGGGAACATGTCAAAAATGATGCAGCAGATGCAGATATATTCTGATGTTTAGTCTCTAAATGGGTGAGACTTCAAGAAGCCTGGATCCTACACTTCCCATAATGCAACTTTATAGTATCTTGTTGGACCCTCCCATGCAACAGGCTCATACCAGACGCCCAGTTTATAACACAGGCTTTTAAAACGTTACAATGTGTGGTCCCTGTGCACAAAACAAGATAACTCAAGTGATTCTTCCGGGATGACATCTTGACACTTTCTAATACAAATCCTCCACACACTGTGGTGGTCTGGTGAATGAGGGTTTGCTAAAAGTTTCAGCAAAGGTGATGTGATGAGCACACAAAAAGTCACACCATTTAGAGGAAACCCATTTAATTAAATATAAACAAAAGAGGTACTACAAACATGTAGCTAACACACAAATAAAGGTGCCTGTAGATTTCTATGAAAATAGAAACAATGTATATTTACATAGCTGAGGATTATGAGCATGTGTATACAAAAATATCTTCCTGTAGAAAAGTCAACAGAAGTCTTCAATCTCTTGTTTCAACTCCTAATCAAATGAGAAGAGCAGGAAAGGACAAAGGATTAGAAACAATAAAGTAGGTCAGGCAAAAGTAACCATCTACTGTATGTTAATAGTATAAGATATTAATTTAATTAATACTGAATAACAATGGCAATATTCTATGTTACGGTAGTTATTACATTTCACTCCTCTTAGATACCATTGCGATGATAAAACACGACAAGCCTCCTTTACCGCAGACATTTATTACACATCATCATTGAGGTTATTAGTTAGTTAGACATGTGCCCTTCTTGCTATGACAAGTCAGAATATCTCCAGTAAAAAAGGCTACATCTGCTCATCAGTGCAGTCCAATACTAACCTGTAGTAGTGAAGTTTTGTTGTAGTCTCGTCTGTGTCTATAGACGCTCTGGCAGAGCAGAGCATAGAGTTTCTCCAGCTTGTCGACCTCATACCCTTCAGTCTTGATCACTACTCTCTCCAGCAGCTCCTGAAGAAATGAGGACGAAAGGCAAGAGAAAGAGGAATGACATCCAGATTACCTTTTTAGTTGTCAAAAAGAAAAGGATGATGCAAAGTATCCATGTGTCTTCATCCGTTTATAAAGGCTTCTATGAATAAGGTCAAGATGAAGAAAATCCATCTGACCACGAACTATAAAAAGTCTAAAGAATAAGCCACATATCCCACACCTGTAATTTGTCTCTGTCCACCACCAGAGGAGGAGTTTCCTGGTGCAGGATCTGCAGAGCTTTGTCCACATCGACCACCTGCTGCTGCAGCACAGCTCTCTTTAGAGCTCGAGTTATGCGCCTCACGCACCTCTCTGAGACACAGAAAACATGCAGAGTGTTTAGACCAGTGTAATAGATGACAGTCTGCTGACACAACCACACTGAAACACTGGGGTTAGAAGTTACTATCTCTAGAAACACCACTGACTTTCATTAGCTAGAGTTTTTGTGGAGGTCTGCATTACCCTAAATATTTCTCTACACTTTAGGTTAAAGAGCCAAGCTTTAAGTGCAAGTAAGATGGTGTTAATATCAAACCTGCGCCTGTGTCTTCCTCTCCTCCGATAGCTGCAGAGACGTCTGTGGTTGAGGTATCTGTTGCTTCCACCTCAATTGGTTCAGCAGGGCTGTTCTGCTCTGCCGCCTCGACAGTAACTACTTTGTTGTTCCTGTCGTCTGCCTGTGTTACAGTTGGACATTTCTCAGTTTCACCGCTCTCCTCTGTGTTGGATTGCCCCTGGGTATCTTGTTCTGTCTCAGTGTGGCTGTCCTTATTAGTGTTAACTGAAATGGTTTCACCGTTGTCATTTCGTGCCTTTGTCAACATTTTGTTTTCCTCCGACTGTCCTGGTTGATCTGTGACAACTTCATCCACCCTTTCTATTTCATTCTGTGTCTGGTCGTCATTTTCTGCTTTCCCCGTGTCACACTGGGTAAGCATATCATCAGCAGCTCGACTGTCCCGTTCCTTCACAGTGGGCCCAAAGCTACCTTCCTGGGCCGGTGAAGGCCCCGACTCTATATCAACCACCATCTGATCCTCCTCTCCTCCAGTCCCCTCGTCACACTCTGCTCCTCCTCCCTGCTCAACCTCCTCGTCCTCGTCGTCCCCATCTTCCTCATCAGACCCCACGTGTGCTTCATCTCTGGACATGTGAGGAGAGCAGGATGACTTCTTCTTTGGATATAAGCCAGTAGACCAACGACTCTTTCGCCTTTTCTTCTTCTGGGCTGCAGGAACAAAAGACGTTAAAAGGACTATCACACAAATATTTTAAGTAAATAATTTTATTTAGTTATCTACAGTAATTTTTACTTGTGTTTTTAGGCTTTGTAACAGCAGAGGCACTTGTGTTGGGAGTGACCGTAGCGGTGGGTCTAGCCGGCTCTCTTTGCGGGGTTATGTCAGTGATCTTGGGAAGGACGTGGTAGAAGGAGGGAGCAAACTGGGCAGTGGAGCACTCTGAGGTAGTCAAAAAATAATTCAATTTACACCTTTGTGACACACTATTCATTCTGAAAATGTACAAATTCATACTTGAAGAGAAATGGGTGAGAAATGCACGCAAGCTCAAGTTATTTCTATGAGAAGTCGAGTGACTCAATGACAAAATAAGTGAGGAGGGAAACAGAGTATAGTAGTATCAAATTAAAAGCATAAACTCAGTGCGGGATTCTTCATAAAAAGGTTTTCAAATCATCCGCTAGGTTTTGGCCACTGAGCCGAGTCAGTCAGCGGCTAACCTTGAGGCAAGGACACGGTTAATTAAGTTAATCACATTTGTCTTCCAACTACACGCCTGCACACACACACACCAATACAAAACAGCCTTTACCTCTTGTGCTGCGTGACGCTTTGGTCTCCACACAAATCTTCTCAAAATCTTCATCCAGTTCATCTTTGATGATGGCATGGACGGTGTCCTTCAATGCACATGCTCTGTGGCGGATCTGGCGGTCTGAAGGAAACACACAAAAGAGCAACACTGCAACTTCTATGTTCAAACAGTTCGTATTACACTTGTCGGTTATTTTGAGTATTAATACGGCTATGCTTCTGTGAGGATGGTGAGTATGTTTTTTGCTGATCACTGTGTGTACCTGAGGGGACCTTGTCTGGGTTGTATTCGAGGGCATTCTGCCAGATGAGATCCACGTCATGGAGGAACTCTTTCACCGTCCCATACTGATGGAGGTCGATCTTAGAGAGAACCGTTGACAGGTCCATGGGCGTCTTGATCACCTCAGCGTAATCTGGCACCTAAAACACATGACAAAGAGGCTGCTCTGAGTACAACGGTGGGGCAAAGGGATGAAACTGAACACTGGATAGTAGAGCTTTAAAAGGGAATATGAAATGAGACAATAGAATGTAATAGCACAGCTACCTCCTCTAAAACCACAGGCTTTGTAAAAGCCTTGAAACGTTTGTCCAATGACAGGCGGTTGGTGACATCCCGCAGGAAGAGGCGGAGATCCCTGAGGGTGTCTTCTTCATGCTCCTCCAGTCTCCGGGTCTCCTCTTCTGTCAGCTGACGTGGGGGAGGTGGAGCGGCGACAGGAAGCACCTCCAATGCATTGAGTACTTCAGAAAGTGGAATGATGATAGATGTGAATGTAACCAACATAGTTCAACACATCACTCAACATTAATATCATACAGACTTTCAGTGTGCAGCCATCTTCCACCTGAATTGCTTTTTTTTTTGCTCTAGTCGGGCTGGATGTGAATACCAGCATGTTCTTTTTCACCCCCAAAAATCCCTGACACAAATTATCTTCTGTTCCGTTTTGTTGCCCATCTTCCCATTTTCTCTCTCCATCCATGGCAGGTTTAATGAACATTTTTCAGGCATTTTTTAAAGCTAATAGGTGTAATGGGTCCATCGCATATCAACGAAATGTCAAACCTACTCAGCTGTGCTGACAAACCAAGCTGGTAAAGAAGAAGAAAAAGGATAATATACTTTTCCCCCATAAGAACAAGCATGGACCCTGAACAATGCTATGCTAGCCCTGAGTTTAAGCAGGACTAAAGTCCACTTTAACAATAGATCACACAGTCATATTTCTCACCAGCTTTCTTTTTTGATGCAGGGGCCTTGGCCGCCTGATTGAGGATTAGATCCTCAAAGAAGTTTTTTCTTTCTCTGCTGGTGGGGACCTGGACGTGGAAAACCTCTCCATACTCCACCCGAAACAACTCCTGCACCTGATACAAGAAAAGGGAAAGCAGAGAGAAGACTTATAGAGGAGTATTGTGTCCATCTGTTAGAGAAAATCCTTTTTCAAAAATCAGACTTATTGACATATTATTTTCACACCACAATAATGTATTAAATGATGTGTCCTCATGTATCAACACTCTAAGTCAACAGGACATCACTCCTCGTTTCCATACCTCCATACTGAGTTGGTCATACTCCAGGTTGCACGTAGCCAGAAGCAGTATAGGAGTGAAGGGAGGGATGGAGCTGAGCAGGCTGAGGAAGGTGGCTCTTAAGGCCGGACCCACTGTTTCCCACCACTGTCCGATGTGAGGGATGTACAGGATGCTGGGAGAGGTCCGCTTTGCTTCAACAAAGATCTGCAGAACACATAATACAATAATGAATGGGATGTTTTTTTGTGTGCAAAATCTGGATGTCAACAATTGAGCAAACAGTACAGTTGCTCTTTCACAGAACATGATGGGACGATGAAGGCTAAATCAAAAAGGTATGGTGAGGAAATGAGAGAGTGGAGAGAAGACTGTACAGAGGCCCCACTGGAGACTGAGCTGAAGGAAGTTTCTGGTGAACCTGCATGATTTCATCTGATTTTGCCAGAATCTGACCCGGTGGCACCGATGACAAGCATTTAGAATAACGATATAGAAATAGCCAGCTTCTCGCTGATGGTCTCAGTTACTTGTGTTGGTCATGTAGAGGTATTTTAGAACCACTTAAAAGTTCCTGATAATAACTTTAAGTGAAGTGAAAAAAAAGAAGGAAACATTTCAAGGTTACATATGCTGGTCATAAAAAATAAGCAGCTTCTAGACATCACTTTTGGTAACACGATGGCTCATTCACACCTGCCATCAACATGGCTCTTTCATACAAGTATTTGTCAGTAGTATATATTTATCCCCACTGCCCACAATGTAAGGAGGTGGGGCCCATGAACTACAGTCACTATGGCAGCCATTTTGGCCAGTGAGGTCCACTGAAAAGAACACACTGAATTTGACAAGGCTGCAAAAGTAGAGACTACATCTAGACTACCTCAGTTCTCATGGATCAGGGGCCTGTTTAAACGTTGAGGACCCAATTCTAGGACATGTCATTAGCTGCTAAATGTTCCTAAATATGTACATTAATAATAATTAAACCGTGTATTCTTTTGTATACTGGTGTCTCATTTACCTGAGCACAAGTCTCTTCCGGTGCAGTTGCGCTGGCTCCAAACAGCACGGCCATGTCCAATGTGTACACAGTGAACTTCTCCAGAGCGTGGAGGACAGCAGGAGCCAGGTGGGAGCTCTGACCTGAACCTAGTCTGCCCTCCAACAGCAGCCTGGGACGGTAGGAGGTTGGGTGGTTCAGCACACTCCTACACACCGAGAGATGACACTGAGATGGGTAAGTGGTAGGAAAGGACTCATTCATTAGCCTAAAAGACCTTCAAAAAGATTTGGTTCACTGGGATACCAGACAGCTCGCAGCACTTCTTAAGTAAAGCAAAGATTAAGGGAATAGAAGCGAGACAACTACAAGACCCAAGACCACAAGTGTAAATACAGAAGATACATCAGCAGTGTTTTCCCGTGAATATAACTACGACCAACATTTTGATTGAAAATCATGTGAAACAATATTTCTTAATAAAGACTCCTGCATTAACATTCCTTCCTGAAAAAATGGCTAACAAACCCGTTGAGGCTGAGGAGTCCCTTAACAGCAGGTGTTTGGAGTTGGGAGTGAGAGGTCTGTCCACTGGAGCAGACTTCTGAGTCCTCCTCCTCACTGAACATCAGATCATCCTCAGACACTCGACCGGCCGCACCTGGAAATAAACACACAGTATAGCAGTTACTCCGGATGCCCCGAAAGCTGTTGCCAAATCAACAGTCAATCTGTAATTACTTATGGACAAAGAGGGAATTAATTTGCCCATGAACAGACATGACGAGGGCCAGAATAAACAAATGTGAAACAGAGCAAGAGGAAAAAGCCAAAGCAAGACTGCACCTCGTTCTCTCTTCCTCTTTAAGCCCTGCTCAGCATGCGGGAACAGTCTGATGACAGTCTGGAGGATGTTCTGTAGGGTGGCGCTCAGCAGAGGATGAATGGCAGGTATCAGGGCCTTGGCTGGTGACACTACTGCCCTAAGAATCAAAATTAACATATTTACTTAAGAACCATATTATGCAAGAAGAAGGCACTGAAAATGTAAGCATCCTTTTTACACTTTATTTTCCAGTTAGTTGGGTTATACCTCTGGGCAGCAGGCACCATCTTGGACATGGCGGACATAAAGTCTTTGCTTGTGATAGCGATGGAGTTGACATCAAGCACAAGTTTCTGTGATGAGAAGTAGATTTGTGGGTAGCGACGCCGCAATGCACACAGGGCAGCCTCTGAACAAACTGCCTTAATGTCTGCTCCGCAGTAACCTGGCAAACAAAAACAGACAGTCAGTATACAGTCTGTAGTTGTGGGCGTGTACGAATGTGTGCCAGTGTTTCCTATTGAAATGATCTGAAAGGAGATAAAGAATAGTTTTGGTTCCGAGACGCAGGTTTTGTCCTGGCCTCATACCAGTATCACTTCCAGTAGATGTTGCACTAAAAGAATAAAAATGTCTTTCTCTGATGTGTATCCCAAGTTAAATTAGTGCAATTGTTATTTTTAGCAAGATATGCATTTTTCAAGCTGTTGGACCACTGTTTTTGCCCCCATTATAATGCAAACATACCAACACATGCATCTGCCAATTCTTCCAGAAAGGTGTCGGAGGGCGGTGGAGTCCACTGTCTGGTGTTGATCTTCAGAATGTCCCTTCTCGCCTGCCATACAATAAGATCACAGCAAGTTCATATCCTACATTTCCAAGCTGAAAGGCTTCGACTGTTTTAGCACAAAATCATTTCACATGTCAATTCTCTCTCTATGGTTTAATTTCTGCCAAGCGTTCAAGGCTATCTAGTTTCTCACCTCTCTGTCTGGCAGGCCGAAGAGGAACTCTCTGTCGAAGCGCCCCGGTCTTCTCAGTGCGGGGTCGATGGAGTCCAGTCTGTTTGTAGCTCCTATCACAACAACCTCTCCTCTACAATCTAGTCCATCCATAAGAGCCAACAGGGTCGACACAATGGAACTACACGGAGAGAAAAAGACTTAAGATTACGTTTTCTACCTTGTCAACACTACCTACCGGTGACAAATACAGCAGTGCACAGAGTCAAATTATTTTGGTTTCTTTTTCAACAGTATCATAGTATCCATGAAAAAGTAAGTGAACTCCCAACAACATTAGGGACACGGGTGCTGCTCACCTGTGGATCTGGTCCTGGCGACTCGATCTGACTGGAGCCAAACCATCAATCTCATCAAAGAAGATGATGGACGGACGCATCTGGTACGCCTAGAAACAATTCAATCAGTTGCAGATTGCATTACATTTAGACCCTATACTTGATAATGTGAAGCAATTTACTTAGTTTATCCTAATCTACAAGTGAATGTGTCAAAATCTAGTGAGTTAGCTTGACAACAGGAAGACGGGGAATAAAACGGATAATCTCCATCCATCCCAAAAAGTGTATTGTATGTTGATGAGGAGTTTGGTTTACCTGGTCGAAAAGCAGTCGCAGCTGTCTCTCAGATTCTCCCACCCACTTACTGAGGCAGTCAGCTCCTTTCCTCATGAAGAAGGACACCTTTCTTTCGCCCTGACTGCACTCATTGGCCAGCGCTCTGGCTACGAGGGTTTTCCCTGTGCCTGGAGGACCGTAAAATAGACAGCCCCTAAAGACAAGAGGAAATATGACGAAGAAAAATAGTGGGGATTTTATTAAACAGCCATTACAATCCAACCAAAGTCTTAAGTGGTAGAGAAGAGACTTGACAACCTGAGGGTTAAATAGCTTTAACAAAAATGACAAAGCTCTTTCCACTGATCTGGCAAAAAATTACAACTTGGGATGTTGGGAAAATAACTTCTTTGAAAGCAATAGAGGACATCATACATCTATTCTTTTTGGGTGTTTCTTAAAAAGACATAGTAAATGAGATATTGATTGAATTTACATGAATGTAAAATAAAAGCTTAACCACATAATCACACGTTTGTTTACCTGGGAGGCTGTATCTTGAACCTCTCAAAGACTTCTGGGTAGAGGAGAGGGAACACCACCATTTCCTTCAGCGCTGAGATGTGTTTGCTCAAACCTCCAATGCTTTCAAACCGCACCTGGATGACAAAAGGTGTTCGGTTTAGATTGTTTGCTCAAAATACAACTACTGACTGTACAATAACCCATTTATCAGTGTTGTATTAGCAGGAATACAAGGCTTTGTTTTATATCTTCAGTAATTACCATTCAAAAGGTTACATTCAACTTCATATCTATTCAAACAAATATGGTATTTTTCTCTACTTTGTTATTTTGAAGTGCTATGTGTGTGTGTATACGTTTACGTCGATGCAATATTTACCATCAACTCAACACAGACTCATGGGCAACTCTCTATCTATAGATGCAGCTTACCGTCTTGTCGATGAGCATGGGGTCCACATCAGCGAGGCTGGCTCCAATCTTCATCCTGTCCTTGTGGATACCCAGCAGGTCGTCTTTCACAAGGTTCATCGGCAGACATCTGTAGGAAAAACATAGAAAACAGAAATAGACTTTTAAAAAAATCTAAAATATTATATATTTTTACAATCAACCACAATAAGTCAGTGGTCCTACTCCATCATTGTAAATTATTATAGGAAATAATGAAAGGACAGGACGGTGGGTAATGGAAGCATGTAGGTTGTTATCATTAAGGGAACAAAGAGTAATCAAGCTGGATTTGTTTCTCAAAAGAGTCGTCTATTAATCCAGAGATAAATTAAATAAATAATGACAGTAGACATTTTCTGGTTGAGAATTATACATTTTGTTGACCTATTTTTCAATAGTTACTCTTTAATCCGTCAGTCACCACCTTTGTGTTCCACCCATGTGCTGAAGAACACTTTGTGTCGTCAACCTGTACCTGTACTGTGTGACAGCTACTGCTGTTCTCACCTGTTGACTGATAAGCTCCTGTTCTTACTTCTCCGTCTCTGGAATTTCTCATCGTCTGAAGATGAAGAAGTAGAGTCACTACTGTGGATGGCGTGTCTTCTTCTGCGAAGGCAAAAGAAGCAACGTTATCTCTCGCCCTATCTGAATCATGATGACTATCAGCTTATCAATAACTGACAATCCCGACCAAATTTACATAATGGTTGTTTATTTTTCTTTTAAGCTTATTTTTGTTATGTTGTCCTCAGCAAAAAAAAGAAAAGAATCAACGCTAGTGAGTAGGCACAATACACATAGTCAAAGAAACAAAACAAACATACACAACACTATTACCACTCATTAGTAAGTATTGCAGTTTTCATATATATACACAAATACACAGTAATAACCAACCACTTCAAGTGACATCACCATGCATGACACTGCCTGAACAATACTTAATGTAATAAATCAAGAACACTGGCTAATAGAAAGTCAGCTTTCCAACAACGGGTCTTTCTTTGTTACCAAGTTGACAACAGTGCTAGTAAAGACAGACAGCACTAACTATAAACACCAACATGGACAAGCAGTGAGGGTCTTACCTCTCAGAACTATTCCTGAGGGTGGGATGGAGAGAATCAGAAAAAAAGAGGGAAAAAAATAAATGTTGGGATTGATTTTACATGCAGTAATTCCAGTGGCTACTAGAGACAGCGCTATGACCTACAGCGGTGTGATGGTTGCGATTCTTCAAACAGTATTTCAAAATGTATTCGTCAGAACATCAAGTGTTACTGAGGAAACAGATCCCTTGATAGTAGATGTTTTGTTTCTCAAAGGCTGATGATTGCAGGTGTGTGAGCTCATACTAACCTGTTGGTTCTTCTCCTGGTGTAGGGGCTCCTGGGGGCCGTGGAGCTGAATCTAAACCTGCGTCTGGTAGGAGACGAGTGGTCCTCGAAGTACATGCTGCGCTTCCTGGGCTCTAAGATACAATGACAGACATCATCAAACCCGATAATTTTTATTAAAATGCTAACAGAGGCTTAAGTACAGTAATTAACAGGATGAATTCATTCCAAACAATGATTCAGCTTTCGCAAATGATTCAACAAAGAAAGACCAAGTATTGAATGTCATTTATCCTTTTTCTCCTGTGCCAAATCTGCTTTAAGAGTTCTAAAGACTCATCCAGTTTCTGCATGGATGTATTTGTACCTGCCAAATAGGGGTACGCTAAGATTTTCAATTATGTAATTGAAACCAACTTGAATGCTATCAGTTGTAATATTTGTGGAAACTAAAAACACAAAATAAAAAAACAAACTGGTGGAAATGACCTAACATTTACGACCAACTGTCATTCTCATGCGTTTCCAGAAGCATATCTGCCATTTAAACAATACGATCGAACAACAAATGCAGTACCATCCTGTGGGGCCTGGTAGCGAACCACAGTCTTTCGCTGTCTGAAGTCATAACGCCTCTGATTTTCTTCTTCCTCGTCCTCGCCATCCCCATCTTCTTCCTCCTCCCCTTCCTCCTCATCATTTTCTTCTTGTACATCTTCCCCCTCCTCTTTGTTGTGATCCTCCTCATCCCCTCCTGTGAATTAAGAAAAGAGGTAGAATAAATATTTCAAACAATTCTGCTTTTGATTATGTTACATAGGGATAGCCCATAGAACGTGTCACTCATGTCTGAAGTATGCCCTGCAGTAACTTGAAGACCTCAGGCGTATAATATTCTGAATTAATTTTAGACCATCTTACCGTGGTTCTCTTCCTTGGTGTCTTTAGTCTCCACATCTTTCCTCAGAGACCTGGTCATTCTGGCCCTGGTGTACATACCGAGCTGCTGAGAGGAAACGGGTCAAATGCTGATTCATTCACAGTTTAGAAGCTTGTTCAGCATTATCACACAGCAAAATCACCTGCTGTCAACATAAACACAAGGATCACACAATGCAACATAGAGCTTGAAATGAAAAAAGGATTTTTTTTTTTACCTCTTCTTCATTGTCCCTATCTCTGCTCCTCTTTCTGCGTCTCATCTTCTGCATGTCGTCCATCTTCTGGAGAACAGCTTCAGCAGTGCTGAGAGACAATCAGAGGAAAAAACTATCAGATTTCATCAAAGTTTATCTCTAAAATAAACACCCACAGCCTACTGTGTGTGTATGTCAATATGTTTGTTAGATACTACTTGAGGTAATAGCATCAGCTGTATTTTGAACTGAAGCAGTGAGGTAGGAGCCAAACGAAGCTCGAGTGATTGTTGCTGAACTCACTTGGTGATGAGGCGGTCGTAGAGCACTGACTGGTTACGGGAATCCAGTTTGTATCTGGTGATTCGGGAACTACGTCGCACTGAGCGATCCTCTTCCTCCTCCTCTTCTCGGCTCTGTAGATCAAATCGACTCCTCTTGGGAGTGGATGAGCCCTCCACCTTATCTGGAACATCTGGGGCAACGGAAACAGTTATTGTCAGCTTAGTCGTAGTATAGACCCTCCAAAACACTAAATGCTGCTAAACATGCGTTGTGTGCTATGTCATTTAAGCTCTCCAGTGCTCTTTGTAAAGAAATGACACTGTAGCTAAATGTACCTGCTTGCTGCTTGTCACTGGATGTTTTCCCCTCTCTCTGCAGCCTGGAAGACTTCCTGAAGATAAAAGGAAGCAAAAACATTTAAAATTAATTCCTCATGTATATTCTTATTATGCGAGTGTTTAAAATGTGCACAAATCTTACACTCCCATCAAATTTGATATTGTAAGCATATATTTGGAGAGCCAACGTAAAAAATTTAGAAAATACTCTGAACAATTAATAACATTCAGGTTCCAAAGAATCTTTTGACTCACATTTTGCCACACTAAAAAAAAAAAAAAACAGACACACAAAAGCAGGTTGAGCGCATCAATAACATGAAAGTAAGTGGGCCTGTGTTACCTGAGGCATCCTTCTACAGTGTTGGCTTCATTCACAGGGGAGCTGGTCTTTGGCTCCATGTCAGCAAAAGAGACCTCTAGTTTAACTCTCTGTCCTCGGGTCCTGAGAAAGTGATGAGGTCCACTTCCCTCATCCGGCCTCATATCAGCATGTCCCTGGCACAGAAACATTGTGAGTTTAAAGTTTACTGCATATGTACAACTGATAAGTGTCAGCTTGATTGAATTAGAAATTCAAATTAAACATGGACTGAACTTCTAAGTCTGTGCAAACCTGAAGTGTACAGGATACACATTTAAAAACCAGCTACCACTATGAATCCCTAAAATGTGTACTGACTTAGAAGGAGTGTAAAGTAATTATTATTGAATCCTCAATATTAACAAGTGACATTATCAGTAACCTCATGTCTTTATGTTAATTTGTTTCTATTATGAAGTAACAGTTAACCCTGATACAAAGTTAACAAAAGAATGAATGAACAGACCCCTTACCTCCACAAAAAAACATGAAACACACCCCATTAACAGACACTTATGACATCTAACGTTGAGGCATTTCGCCTATTGACAGTCTAGTAATATAGAGTTATAACATTGGCATATGGCCATGACACTGAACCAAACATTACAATATGAATGGTCTAGCTGTGTCAATAGACATGAGAGTTTGAGGTAAATGTCAGCAGGGACTATAAGTGCTCATGCAAATCATCTGTCGGTAACGTTAAGTGACAAGGTGGCTAGTTAGCTTAGCACGCTAGCAAAAGTAGCACAGCAAAGTTCTGTTCATGGATAATTTATACAATAACTAAATGGTGGTCTAGTTGTTTCACCAGCTGGGTGTTAATGCTCACATTCACCGAGTTGTTCTCCAGACTGCTGAAGCTGTCCTCCAGGGCCTGGGAGGACCGGGTCAGCCGGCCGGACTTCCTCTGCGACGCGGGAATTAGCGACAGAAACTCGGAGCTTGTTTCCAACTCCATCGACCTCCTCTTCGGAGTAGTGGCCATCGGCTGAGCTCCGGTACCGCCGCTGCTGCTGCGTAGTATCACCATCTTGACTCCAAACCGACCGTATACCAGCACGAACCACGGATAACTACCCGCTATTCTGCCTTGAACTGTCCAATGTTTACGGTGCCTCCAACATAGCACAGATAACGGTTTCTAACCACCAGCTGACGAACACGAGCTCCTCACCAAACCGTTGATTTCTGGCGCCACAAACGTCGTCAGAGGTTATGACTTAAGGGGATAAGAGCTGCCGCCAGGAAAGATAGATCTCTTAGCAAAACTGTTAAAGAAGGCCAAATGTTTAAGTGGTTGTATATTTAACTGATTTTAACACAACTACGATGCAGCCCATTTCACTATTTGAGTGCTGTTGTCATTATATCAGTCGTGGTATATTTGTTTATACATAACGTGGGCGGAGGGATACAAATACAATTTGAAAAGGTGTGCCGGTTGATGTTAGAGCGTGTTCTTCTACCAACTACTCTAGCGCGCGCTCATTATGTACACACAAATGATGTACTGAGAGCTTGTGTTTTACACATTTAACGATGAAATTGCTAGAAACTGACTTCCAAATAAAAGCATATTAATTTAAACAGAGTCAATATCAGCTCATCTTTTATTTGAATAAGTGACAGATACCAGAAGAGAAAATACAAACTCTAGAATTGTTTCTAGCCTGAAAAAAAGTACATTGTGTAAAACTGCTGTACAGGCAACCAGATCCTAACTGTAAAATCACAAAGCTTTCCATTGCCTCCTCCCTTTTATTGATGATAATTACTAGTGTTTGAGAGATACTAATGAAATAACTGTTAGCCTCATTACCATGTTAATGTTTTCATTTGTGTTCATCCAAAGGGCATTTGTCACAACGGTTACAAGTAATCATATTTTGAATACATGCGTAAAGCAACAGTGGTCGATTTGTAATCCGATAGCATTGCCTTTGCAACAGTAATGAGAAATAGGAAAATTGAAGGATTCAATGAAAGACTTGAGATTTCACTCATCAGAGGCCACATTCCTGTTCATATGCACAGCAGCCAACTGCCACACGTCACATGTGTTTGACAACAAAGTCAATTACTTATGTGATAAAAATGAGTTTGCCATCTCACAGCAACTAACGGAGTTTGGTCAGTTCAGTTGTGAGTGGACACCACATGAGCTGTGCACATGCACACAAAAGGATGTCATTTCAAGTAAATTAGGTCTGGGCATAATCCTAAACAGGAGGTCTGATTCTACCAGCTCATAATTTAATTAATTAATAATTTGGATTATAGTGAAGTTATAGCCGCTCATGTTTTCAGGACAGAAACACAATGCGGCCAAACTCTCTGAATAACTGGTCTACAATAACGTGACACTGTTGGCTACTGTGCTGTTACGTCTTGAAATGTGGCCAGAGAGCCCCGTCATCAGGGAGGTCATGTTCACGCGATGGCTGCCAGGTAGTCCTTCACCTCCGCTGGGGTGAGTCTTTTGAAGCCGGCCTCGTTACAGATCCCCACCTCAATGTTCTCCTCCGTCATCTGACCCTCAAAACTCTCCTGAAACACAAAGACAGGAGAGTATAAATGACTGATAATAAAATGAGATGGATTCCATACCTCTGGTATATTTTTAGAACAAACATCGTACCTTCAATGTCAAGATGGCTGTGTGGATGGCATCTTCCAACTCCAGATCGTTGTTGTACCTGGAGAACAAAAACAAAGTGGTCATCAAGCAACCTGTGTAGTGTGCATCAAGTAACTATTGTGAGTCCACTGAACCAAACACCTCAACTATGTGCATCCATGGTGAATTGTACATCAGCTATTCACAACCACTGGGCTGCCATCTAGTGGGCAAATGAGGTACTGCATAAATGTTACACAATTGCAGGGTCCTTTACAAAGCTCTATATATATATATATATATTCAAGAATTCTCATTGAAAAAAAACAAAACATCAAATTAAAATGGAATACATAAACGACCAGTTATGTTTAAATATACCACACCAATAACGACACATAATCAGGTAGAGACACAACTATTGTTGCATAGCTAACGTTGGATGCAGTGACCTGTTTTTGAACCTAAAAGTGGTGTGGGTGACAACCCTGCACCAGTAGAAGCTGGTGGGGAGGAATTATGGCCCTGAATACATAACATTTGTATTTATAATGGCAGGCAGTGATGGGTGAGCAGCATATTTATTTTATATTTATCATTATAGCTGACAGAGGTATATTTACAGCTCGCTTTATTATGAAAATTTATTTATTTTTGTCATGTATTTGGCAAGATGGTCGTCAGAATTGGGCCTTAAGTCACAAAAAGTAATTTACTGGGAGCATGCCTCATGAGAATCAGGTCCTATACACCGAGCCTCAAGTAAAACGTCTCATGGTTTTCCAGAAGTGTAGGGAAGAAGTTACCGCCCTGGTTCATCTTCCTTGTGTGACAACTACAAATTAAATTTAACTGGATAGTAAGGCTTCCACACTGGGGCTCTAAATCAATCTGCAGCAACATTGAAAGTGCCTTAAACTGTACAAATAGTTGTTTTATATCAGTTGTGTAAGTCTTTTTTACAACCGAGTTCATATCGATGTGATAGCCATCATAAACATACAGATTGTTGGAGATTGGCCACTGAATGTCAAAAGTACTAATCTCACACATGTATACATTTGCTGTTCGCAAAATAATTTTATTCTTTTCAACAAAAAGATGCTCTTTACTGTAAAATCTTACCTTTTTTCAAGGAATGTTTTTCCATTAACGTAGTTCTTTCCCATGGCGGTGGCTTTCCATGCAAAGTATGCGCCCTGCCAGTCAGAAACACAAAGATAAAAGTTATGCTTCTGTGACGGCCCCGATGCGACCCGGGCCCAGAGCTTCACAGAACATAAAGACCAAAGCTGGAATAAGTGCTGGACACACTCCAAGCAGACAGGATGTACAACGAAATCCAATACTTACAAAAATATATATAACTAACAAGTATTTGGAGTGGGTAACAGCAATTAACCACCCTGACATCTCATGAATATAAAAGTATTAATTTCCATAAGGGGATTGATGAGTAGTATTATTACAGCAAGGCAGGGTTAGTCCGCTGTCAAAGCTCTTTTAATAGAAAATAATAATAAATTTGAGCTGAAAAGAGTAAAGTAATTGAAGACAAACATTATTTAACAAATATGTAAAATAGTACAACATACAGAGGGGTCTGACTGGAACAGGTAGGGGTGGTCTTCATCCCATCCAGCTATCAGCAATGAAACACCAAACGGACGCACCCCACTGGAGAACACACATTAAAGTAAACACAGATTAGATACCAACTATAAGGTGATGTGTCTAGTAGCAATGTGTGTATTAATGCATCTTTGTGAATACTCACCCAGACTGTGTGTACTCCTGCATTACAGAGGCCACTCTCTGGACAAGCTGACCTGTGGGGATTGGCTCCTGGTAAACCAGGAAGTACTGTTGGGCCAACTTCCGGGCTCGTCGCACTAAAACCCTGCAAGGAAGACACAACCAATGAGGTTCAGTAGTCAGACAAACTCTGGTGGCATCTCCTAGATGTCTCACATGCAGAGCCAACAAAGTCCTGAATGATGATATAATATGCAAACCCTCCAAAAATAATAAACCCGATACGGCTTATATTGTCGTTTTATCTGCTTCTGATCAATCAACAAACATCTTCCTCTCTGTAGTGCATTTAAAAACGGTTGGGCATCACACAGATATTGCTTGTCCAAAGTTAAGACACCCGAGATGCTGGTGTTTTGTTTTCACTTCCCCACCTGTAGTCGGGCCCCATGCCGCTGTAGACCATGCCTATGTGTTTGGTGATGGGCTCCACTTTATGGACGCTCTGCTCATCGTACAGAATGGACTTTTGTTTCTTCTCTGTTGCCAGGACAACTCCATTGGAAGCTGAAAATGAAAGAACATCACAACCAGCGTCTTCACATGCCTTCAACTGCTTACGGATTGGCAATACATTAGTTAATGCTAATGAATGCAATTGAGCATAATACAGTATTGTTGCATCCTCTGATAACAATCAGACAAACTAATATGTTATATTTCCTCAATTAATCAAAGCTTCTGAATTCAAAAGTTTGTCACTTCTTTTGTCAGAGATGAAATAATCTTCAAAGGCCCGTGTAGGGTTGTATTTGATCCACTCATCACCAGAAGAACTCCTTCATACCTTTGATGCCGACTGAAGGAGCTCCGGCTGCTACAGCTGCCAGCGCATATTCAATCTGGACCAGTTTGCCAGAAGGGCTGCAGGAAGAAACACATGATGATGATGATGCTGCAGTACTAAGCTGCGAGACGGAATACAATCCACAAAGCTACATGCAAATAATATGTAGTTTATCCCGATTAACACAGACGAAACTGAAAGCAAAAGCTAAAACAACCGACTCATCTGAGCTAATGTGGCTAACGTTAAGCTAACGTTAGGCTACATGTAGCATGTAAACGGGACTTGTTTCGGTCTATTCAGTAAATCGCGCAGAAATGAAAACGATTTGGTGAGATTTTATCATCGCCATTAGAAGAAAAGATTCACTTTAGTGTTTCATTTAGAAACACGTTAGCAACAGTTAGCCGATTCATTCCACTATACCCGCAATGACAGTGCATCGACTACAATGGACCCCAAAAACACTCTTTTTCAAAATGTGAAACAGTGCATACAGTTTATAAAACTGCTGTTTAACAATATCTTCAGAATGAAAGTTTAGATGCTATTTTAAAGTTTCATGGCAATTTTGATCAAGTTTACCTAAATGTGGTGAGGGAGAAACTGTAGCCTCGTTCCGCCATTTTCTTCTTCTTCTTCTACTCTGTGTTGACTGAAGAAGTGTAAATCCACTGTAAGGGTTATACTGCCCCCTAAGATCTGAACACACATCACGTGGACTGCGGAGTGTGTGGGGGGATATTTAAACACCTTATAAATTGAGGAAGCATATAGACAAAGATAGCCAATGCTTATTAACTATATTTACTATTCATAATTATCATTAATAAAGGATACCAATATATAGACAGTGCCAGTAATCTGGTGTTGTTACAATACAAGAGAAATTACAATTAATCTAGATCTTTTTTTATGTCCCATATCAACTGTATCAAATTATTATCTGAAATCAAAGAATACAAAAATGTTGAATTATTATTAAAACATGTATTTATTGAACAACTTTATTTTACATCCTAAAACACATTCTAAAATGTAAATCAATTAGATTGATTAACAGGCAATACTGTATGTTACAATGGATATCACAGTATAATATGGCAAGATATTTTAAAAACATCGCTTTGGAACTATAACATGTAGGGACAATAGACTATAGTTCATATGTAGTTCAGACGATCATGACAAAGTATAAGATCTCATATGGGACAGACTCGGTGTGGTTTGCAGCATCTGTAAATACGCACACTAAAGAGTGAAGTTAGACATGTGGCCGCTAGGTGGCAGTAAAACGCCTGAATTAATCTTGCCTGCCGGAATTAAACAGAAGAAGTGCAGTTTGTTGTCGCTGTTTGATGACGTGTTGGATCTCGGTGACCGTGAGCTGTTTGACATGTTGGACGGAAAAGAAGCGTGCTAACAACAAACATGATGAATATAGCTGCTTTAGTTAACAGCCTCAGATGCTCTTTGCTACACATTGAAAGCAGACTTCTGCAGGTCGCCGGACTGACGTTAGACACGCAACTGGGTGAGTTTACTGACTGGAGCTCAGGACGTCATCTAACGTTACTGCTGATTGTGGTGACAAGCGGTCCCTGACTGACTGACAGACAGACACACACCCTCACACACACTGTATTTCACCGCCTTTTCTTTTTATTTCAGTGTGATTTTTACATAACATCTAAACATCATAAACATCTAAACTACCTCCTCTCTACAATCTCTACATTTGCATCATTGGGTTGCAGCTAAAAACAGGTATTTATGTGTTTCCTGTGTGCAGCTCCAGCTCTGGCAGTGAATGGCCCCAGCCTCCTGCCTCAGCCCGACAGGGAGGATGAGATGGAGGAGCAGCACAACCCGGAGCAGTCTCCCGGCCTCCTAGACGGCATCCTGTGGATGGCTGCACCCAAGAAGAGGCGCACCATAGAGATTAACCGCACCAGGAGGAGAGCTGACAGCAATCTCCTAAAAGTCAAGGTACACTGTGGATCCTCAAATTTTTCCCCAAAAACCTAACTCTATATATTTTTTTATTTTGTCTTACCTAGAGAGCTACTTACTATCTATACTGAATGGGAGTGATTAGAAAAGGTTTGGGGATATCAGCTGTAACTCACCCCTGTACATTTAAGCTCAATAGCATTTAGTTTGTATCATGTATCAGATGTTTACTCCAATAAAAGGTCGGTAGATGCAGCGTCAACAAATTACTTTTGACATGCATACACACAACAGATTATTTAAAGACTTAAATGTTATTTCATTCTTATTCAATACAGGGAAGGAAAAAATGTCTCCGAACCGTTTAATGGCATGCCGGTATTACCGGCTGCTCCTTAGCTGATCACACATAGATCAACATTGGTTTATATGTTGGCCAATAAGTAACAATAAATAGCAGTTACTTTAAAATGTCATAGATATGTGAGAATTAGTTTAGAAACAGTCTTTGCATAACATTGTTTCACCCACAGTTTCTCTGTCTCCCTCTCGCAGAACAACATCGAGCCGTGTCCAGAGTGTGGCCACTTGAAGCAGAAACACATCATGTGTGGCTTCTGTTATGCTAAAGTGTGCAAGGAGACGGCTCTTATTCGTCAACAGATGAAAGCGATGGAAGGTGGCCCGCTGGGGGCCCCGACCGTGGAGACCATCGTCCTGTATGAGGGCGAAACACCAAGTGAGCTGGACAAAGACAAGAGGATTGTGGAGAGGGGCAGGAAGAGGCCCGCCTGGTTCAGCTAATGATGCTGAGATATTATTGCTGTGTGTGATACATAGCTTGAGTTTGACACAAGTCACACACACACACACACACACACACACACACTGATTCTTTATATGATGTAGAAAACAGCATATTTTGTCCAGTCTGTTATTCAGTTAATGAAGGAGGCTGTTGTGTCAGTTTTGTTTCCATAAAGCAAACTGTTTGATCAGCACTGACACCCGGAGCCTTGATAAATACTGCCACGTCAGACATGTTATCTGTGAACATACTGTACTATATCAATGATGTGTTGGTTTGGGGCTCGCATAGCCTCAAAGTTTTGTTATTGTTTCAACTCATATTTCTGACTGAGAGAAATTTACTGTAAATTTGGTTGACAATAAATCCATTATTTGAAAAATAAATATTGTGTATCTACTTCATTCACCGTTTAAAAATAAGTGAGACCATGCAATGTACAGGGCAATGAGCTTCCACTTCATGATACAATAAGAAACAGCTAAATATATATATTTATGAACTGTGCTCTGATGTTATTAGTGTAATAAACGGATAAAGAGTTTAAGCATCCTCTAAGATTTTATTATTCTGATTAAACCTGAATTATGCGGCTCAATTTCAACCTTTAAATGGATGAAAATAGGCTAAAGCTGTTCATTAGTGTTTTTTTTATCTTAGTCAGGGATGAAGAAACCACATGGCATGTGACGTCTAACATTTAATTAAAAATCTGCAACGGATACATGACAAACATGTACGGTATATGACTACTAGTGGCGCAACATTACTGCTCGTATTAAATAACATTCATTCATATCAAATATTCTACATTAAATGACTGGGCTGTAGAATTGCCTGCTGATGGTCGAAAACTAACTGCCACTTCTGAACATGAAGAGATTCCTGTTTTTGTTTATGAATGTTTGTGTAGCCACAGCAACGTCTATTCGTCACGATTCAGCATCAAACTCAAGTCATGAAGTGCTGGTTCTTGTGTGTCGGGAACAGACTGTTTTTGCTGGGATGAGTCCAGCATACCTTCCAGGGCCTCAGTCACACCATCACACACGCTCTGATTCAGTTTCACCCTCAGCTTTGAGGAAACTTGCGTTGCCAGCGTCCTCCAAAGAGACGGAGTAATCAAGGTTTAAAGAGAGTCACATCTTCAAATGAGCTTTAGAGCTGTGAACTACAACAAATCATTAAGTAAGTAAAAGGTCAGAAATGAAGTGTGGAATTGAATTGCTTTATCAGTAGTTACACATACAGAAGTCCAGCAAGGTCTTTTACTTGCCTCCCAAACTTTTTGTCACATCCATCCATTACAAGTGACATAAAAAGACACACCGGTAGCACATCTGTAGAAAGTCTAATCATTACAACTCATTATTCCACATTCACAGAGAGTATGAGAGATACAGCTGAGAGTAAACCGTTCACAAATCAAATGCACAGTCTCTGTGGTGCCAGAGAATGTTTCTAAAACTTAGTCACAAGCAGGGATTTTGCCGTCGGTTGCATGACTTTGGCAGGAGCAGATGTAGCTGTGGATTAATGAGTTGGATTATGACTGTCAGTGAGTGATCTGATTGCCCTCAGCTGTTTCCTTCCTGCAGACATGTGGTCTATGTGAGAGACATTCGAGGAGTCAGAGGATACTTTTTTTTAGGATAAACCCTAAATCCATGTAATTTAAGTAGATTAGTAATTTCACACTTCTGTCAACATGCACATCCACTTATAGTATGGATGCAAACACATTTCCATAATCAAACCCAGACCACAATACATAGAATTATAAGGTTCACTCCGGAAAGCGATTTATCTTTTTATCAACAGGCACATGATACAGCACAAATGAGTTACGTAAACAAAATTAGTGGGGATTTCATCTGGTTGCCTCATGTCATGGAAAGAGCCAACGCTCATTTTCACATGAAAACCAAGCTTCAGGATGCCTGGAGTGATGACATTCACGACAAAGTGATGCAGAGGAGCAAAAATAGCAACAAGGCTGGGTATATAAGACGTTGCCAAACACACTCACGTCTCAGACTACTTGGTACACACAGAGATACACACATCGATGATGACAAATGATTTGATCGCTTTCTGTATCCGTTTCTCTTTAGTCAAGTCGGACAGGAGTGAAAGTGGACGTTCGTCTTGGCACACGCTCGCTTACTGACATTTACGCTCTCAACACCATCACACCATGCACTGTGTGAGCAGAGGAGGCTGCTACCTGGTGAACTCCTACTGTGATCTGCAGGAGGAAAACCAGTGGAGGAAGGAGAGCTACCAACAATGCTGGCTGAGCCTGGTCCTTGAAACGAGGCCACAATACAAGTAGGTGGTTGAGATTCAGCTTTATTCTAGATTAAGTTTTGTATGAATCACTGCATACACGTTGTGTTTTACTTATTTTTTTATGTGAACTTTGTTAAGTATTTCTAGATTCATGTGGCGTAGTGCTCAGTATGTTGTGATAAGCAGGATAGAGGCTCAAGGACAACAGAGCAGGACGTGTACTCATTATACTTTTATGGTAAACACGTAACATGTACGCTGTATTTTGACTTAGAGCATAAAATCCACAGTGACGTGCACATTGTTGGTCTGAAAACTGCTGCTGCACAGCATTGTTTGGGTTGAAACTCTAAGTCAAGTTGCAGTTCATGACCTCATCTTGATCAGTGGTGTCACTGCAGGTATGTTGCCTAAAGGAAAACACCCGTAACATGTCATGTGGTGTGGTCAAAAATGTGACCAGCTTCAAAGTGTCAAGAAACAAAGAGCAGTGAAGCAGCAATCGTCTTCTAGACAGGATAAAGAAATCTTTTGTCCGGTGTGTGTGTAACGTGTTCCAGGCTCACTCTGTCAGAGACGGACAGCATTCGTAGAGAGAGTTACAAGCAGCAACAGGTGACCGACTTCATGGTGGAGAGGAGTCCCAGCCGGACACTGAGGCTGAGCAGCAACAGCAGAGTCGCGGCAGAGCACCAGCTGCCCTTCTTCAACACCAGCCAAAAACATCATGCTACATCCACCTTCGGGGGCAAAAAGCCAGTCATACAAGGGGAGGGGAATAATGGAGTGGGTAAACAGGAAGTGACAGCCATAACTCAGGACCTCAGCAAACCACTGAGAGTGAACTTCAGAGCCTCGAGTCTGATGATCTCACCGAGAGAAATCTCTCATCGGGTGCAGAGGAGGGAGTGAAGCAAGGAGCTCCAACGTATTTCAAAGTTCAGAAAGTATGGTGTGGCCTTTGTTGCCGTGATTTACTCATCGATATTAAAAAAAGAAAGTTGTACATTGTCTTAACTATTTTAACTGAGACATTTGAACAAAAAAGTACCTCCTGATGATATGCTGCACGAGTACTGTTTCTATGTAAGTAAAACATATCTAGGAAACATGATGTTTTTAGTATCATCCAAACAAAAGACCTAGACTTAAAATAAAAGATGTTCTCATAATTCAATTAGCAAATTATTTCATTGAAAAAGTTGGAATCATGCTGAATTGATGAATCATGTGCTACACTTTTCAAAACAAATGCAATGATACTGTACTGAAGACATGAACATATTCTGACACAGATTCTTCACGCTTGTAGACTACGTTCATCACTGTCAGTGATTTCCATGCCTAACAAAGCTTCATGAAACAGTGTCTGGAACCTCATTTTACTGGCTTACATGACATTAAAGTTAATAAAACTGTCCTGCTAGAGAAAATACGACAAATACCTTTACCTACATTGGCTATGATAAGGTTGGGACTATAGACAAGATGAGTGCACCAATTATTGCCATGTATTCCTGTTGCATACTGGTTTTTTTCATCATGAGCTTCCACAATAAATGCTCATTCTTCAGGATACAAACACAGCGGCAGCACCCCCCTGTGGTAAGACAATGGCATCGTAACAGTACCTGATACTATACTTTGCTAAATGGAGATTGTTATGAGAAAACAAAAACACAAAATTAAGTTCTTAAACCAGGAATTTATTAGGATGATTTCACAGAGTGATTAGAGTCAGTACATTTCAATTCATGGCATCATATCCAGCACTTGATCACCAAGTTATAGTCCAAATAAAAACACAACAGCATAGAGAAGCTTGGTAGGCGTATAGAACAAACTACAGCTTTAGTTTATCCTTTCAATACAGTGGTGAAGTGTGAAGTAAAAGGGTGCTATTTGACTACTTTTCAGAGCAGTATTGTGGTAAAGCATTGCAGTACTGAGCACTACTTTGTGCTCTATTCCCTTATTTAGACTCACAGGCACCTTCAGTGTCCAGTCTCCCTGATAGTTAAAAAGCTCCCACAAACCTGCATTGAAGACTAGATATTTAAAACCAGTGATCAGAGACACTACTCTATTAGCTTCGGATCATGTATCATAAATGGTAACACACTACAGAGTGTAACGAGAGATGTAACACAATCAAAGGAAAACCTGGAAGTCCCACAGATATCAAGACTAATACCTCCAATAGTCCATTGATGTATTAAAGCATGGTGTCAACACACTACAGAGAAAGACTACAATAATATTTCCATCAAAATAATGTTCTTGTTAAGGATTGCTGGTTGTTTTGTTCAACACAGTAGTTTTCATTGTGATTCATTTCCTTCCTGAAGAAACTTACAGCAACAAAGGGACGTGTAATATCACATCACATGGGGAACAGTTAATGGGAACTCTAAAGTCATACCCGAGGTTGACAAACATACATTTTCCAGACCGACAAAATATGCACTTAGCAGTAATTCATGGCACTCAAGAGAATGTGAGTTAAATAGACATGTTCTAACAATAAAAATCCAAAGGGCTTGATGGAAAACATGTATTTAACATCAGTTGTGCGTCCAATATGGATATCACCTGAACGATCCATGTGCATTTTCATCATTACACATTTAATCACACAGTTAATTTAAAGCTAATGAGAGTTTAAAGGCAGGGTTGGTAATCTTCTTCAGAAAGATTTTTGATTATTTTTGTTGAAATTCTCATTACATCCCGACAGCAATCAATGAATTAAATGATCTGACAAAGAAGAAAAGAAAATCTGGTATCTGTGGGGGGCCACCTGCCTGCCTGCGTGCACCCATTGCTCGTCACCAGAGTCTTTCACAAGCTGCAAGGTTGAGCACTAAAGATAGCCATGTTTGTTGTTCATGTTCATATGGATGTTTTTGAGGGGAGTGGCTTTGGTGGGAGGCCTGAAGGGACGGACTGTCAGTGTTGCAGACTCAGCAACTTTCTTGCTAAATTTAGCAAGTTTTGGAGCTAGTGCTGCTAGCAACTCTTATTTGAAAAAAAGTTGGCAACACTGGGCTGTATTTTTCAGCTGGATAATATTTTAAATCCAGCGTACTCTTGCTAGTATCTCAAGATTACCAACCCCAGCTTTAACTGGGGATTCTGAAGTAATAGTAATATTTCTGCATGCTCAAAACCTGACTTAACACCCCTTCTTTACACTGAGATGAATGGAGGAACTTCCAGATGTTGGACATTATCTTATTGGGGTTACCTCTTGTGTGTATCCATAACATCCCAATAACATAAAGATAATTAAACCAAAAATACATGCATTTCCATTTCTGATCCAACATTTTTCAAAGTCAAATGAAAAACACAAGGTTTGTCACTTTGTTTGAGACTGGAATGTTCCTCCAAATACAGCCTCTTCAGCTTTCTTGTGTTTCTGGACCGTGACCTGCAGCTGCCAGTACTTTAGGTACACCCACATGAGGCTTCCATTCTTCCTCTTGTCCATGTTCAGCAAGTCCGCACAGTGCTTATCTCTCTTAAAAATATCCCTCAGGTCGGACTCTAGATCCAGTTCCGCTCCGATGGGGTCTTTGACGACCTTAAGCAGCATGTTGTTCTCCATCTCCAGCCGCTGATCTCGAGGTTGGATGAGGGAACAGTAGGCATTCTGGCGCTCCACAAGCTGACCCTCTAGCTCCTTCAGAGTCGTGGTGGCTCGCTGGTGCCAGTCGCTCTCTCGTTCCAGAGCGTGATGCAGCACGGCCCCTGCAGCGCCGGACGCTACCTGCCTTTGCTTCTCTTCCTCCAAGGACTGGCGCTCCTTATTAGGGAGAAGACAGCATTTTGGGCTACAGGTTTGAAGGGAAACATGCACAATAGCAGTAATGGATTGCAAGGCAAGATTTTTACCTGATTCAACCGTTTCCGCTCTTCCATCAGCTGCTGGCTCTGTGAGATCAAGGCCTGCTTGTAACCTTTGACCCTCTGTCTCTCCTTCTCTAGCTCCAGCTCTAGCATAGCCGCTGCCCTGCGCCTCTCTGTCAGTGTGTCCCGGTATCGTGCCTCCATCTCGCTTGTTAGTGTGGACACGTCCTTGTCATACTGGTCTTTGACCTTCCGGATCTCCCTCTCAGACTCCCTGGTCCAGATCCAACCTGAGGTCACGGTGGGACTTGAGATATATTTTTTGATATTTAGGACGCTAACCTGTTTGGTCCGTTTAAACAAACCCTGCAGCTTTTCATTGGATAGTCCAGTTTGTTTGGGCTGGTGGGCAATATCAAACCCTGGTTCAGATCAACAATGTGAACTGAGACCGCTTGAAAAGGTTGGTCTCAGTAACGCATACATATTATTATTATATGCTTAGGTAATTTTTTGTCATAATGCCCAACCCAGTCACAGGCAGGTGGTAATATCCCATCGGAAGATGGGTTATTACATGTTTTCTTATTATGTCTACCTTTGTCATTTGACAATCTCAAAAGAAATGAGACCCAGTGAAGATGCATATTGTACATGTATATAAGACTGTACACTTCCCAGAGAGTTAGGCACTAATTTGACAAATTAAAGCAAAGAAAAACCCTCTGCACATTTCAGAGGTAAAGTGTGTACCTCACACAAACTCAACCAGCTTTGCAGGAGCACAGACACTATACATGCAATGGCTCACATGTCCTCCTATGTCTGTTACTTAACCTCAGACACAGTCTACATAGGCCTTTGTGTAACTTACGAAATGCAGCCAGTCCCAGCATCGGGACCAGCAGGGCGTAGTTCCATTGGTTACCATCACCGGCCCCCGCCCCCCGTCCTCTGGGATCTGGTTGGATGTTCCATCTGGGGGGGTCATTCAAGTTGTTCATGGAGACTGCTGTCACACAAACACACAGGGAGACAAACACATCAGTAATAACGGACTCCTTTTGAATTTACAATATGACATTTTTTTACATTTTGCAACACAATCTGAAGAGTAATGGTGTTTATCACTGACAGCAGCTAAGTGTCAGAAGCAACACAGTTATGAGGTGGCTAAGCCATAGACATAACCAGACACTTCATTTAAATTAATTAATTAAACTTAATTGCAAAGTGTCATGTTTCAATAAACACTGAAGGTCCGAGTATCCATTGAATTTGTTTCACTAAAACACCGCGTCAGGCAGCAAAAACAACACCGGTCTGTCATGACTGGAAGTTTGACATTCCTGCTAACCATAAACAAGGCTAGCTATGAGCTAACATGCTAGCTAGCGTTTAGCTCGCTGGCTTATGCTCACTACAGTATTTAATACATGAACATAACACGGGACATAAGAGTTGTGTAAGTCCGACTGCAAGTCTGCTTACGTCCGTTCAATATATGATGCTGTGTCTCACCTTGAATGAAACGTCTAGGTCACTTATACATTTGTTCCTGCACACCCTGCCTGCTTACACAACATTACGCTGCAGCAGTCCATTTTTTACCGACTGGGGGTGTTTCATGGAATGTCACTTGTATTAAGACCCCATTATGTGTTATAATAAAATGTTGTGTGTATTTATCTGAATGCATTCTACAAATAATAATACTGTTTTCCCAGTTTAATCGCGTTAATAAGGGTTTTAAGGAATACCCATTAGGTGTGACATGAGTGTCATCCCCGTTCTCGGAGAATGGTTTGTCCCATTGCTACGGAAAATCTCATCCTCCACCGTGGCTCAGAATCGCTCCTTCAACTGACAACATGGCGAGTGTAGGCGTTGCTTCCCGACTCCTCTCCAAGAGGGTGCTCTCTAAAACAAAAGCCGTGAGTATTAGTAGTTGGATACTAAGTCTTTCATATATCTATATGTGATCTGGTTTTGTGTGTTGATTGTCTAATTTTTTTCGCTGAAAGGGGGAATTATTCCGCACAGCTTTCGTAACCCACAGATTTCGATTTGCGTAACCCACGTTATGTAGCTTAGGGTGTTTCAATGTGACACCACGAAGAAAAGCTATCATGCTAGTTCAACTACTTGTTATATGTAGCTGTGCCATCTCTATTTGTTCCTCTTCATACATAGAAAGTAATGTTTTCAGAAAACTGTCAAGATACTCGTGGTATTCCAACATAGTTATGAAAGTCCCTTCCGTTGCCCTTGTGGTTGTAGCCGCTGTGCGTTAGCTAGCCATTTGTTAAAGGATGCAATGCAAATCTCTGCAAAGGCAACTCTACACTAAAATAATCTGACAATGATCAGACCATAGTTAAGTAAAAACGTCCATTAGTTACAAAGTGCGCTAGATTTAAGTGCTAAATGATGACGGATATTAATGCTACAGCATAGTAGCGACTGTTATACAAGTGTTACAAGTGATATACATTGAAAGCTTTCTTTTAATATGGGAATAAACATAGCATAACATGCTTATCAGAAGAGTGTGTTTTCCATAGGCAAGCAGCCATTAGGATGATCAACGTGGCAATAGTTCTCTTGTTTGGTTTCTCCATTAATATCAATTGTTTTCTTTTGTGCCAGGTCCCTGCTGCTGCTGCTGCTGCAGTTCAGGGATCTAGAAACTTTCACTTCTATGGCAAGAAGACAAGTGCCAAAGTATCAGATAATGTGAGTTATGTTTGCTCTTTTTGTGTAAGATTAACATTTAATAGGGTCATTCGTGTGGATGCATGATAGGGTACAGTATTGTATTTTTTCTTCAAAATCTTCTGTCCAGATTTATTTTGCTCATTGGATGTCGATATCAAAGTTATTAAAATTTGTTGATATAAACAATAATGGCCTCAAACTGATCTTGAACTAAGCATAATTAAAACACTCTGACTACAGGGATTTCCAATATGCACAAGCAAGTGGCTGTTACTTAATTGGATGTTTTTTAGTAACTTCTCTCCTTCATTGTTTTCAGATCTCTACTCAGTACCCAGTTGTGGATCATGAGTTTGATGCTGTGGTGGTAGGAGCTGGAGGAGCAGGCCTTAGGGCAGCTTTCGGCCTGTCCGAGGCTGGCTTCAACACTGCATGCGTCACCAAGCTCTTCCCCACCAGGTCCCACACTGTCGCTGCGCAGGTATAATAGCTCACGTTCTGCATTGATTAGACGGGGCTTTAGCAAACCTACAATACAGATGTATTATGTAAATTCAAAGCTTCATAATCAATTGTATTAATTTATTGAATATTAACCTGATTCACAGGGTGGGATCAATGCAGCTCTGGGGAACATGGAGGAGGATGACTGGAGGTGGCATTTCTACGACACAGTGAAGGGATCCGATTGGCTGGGAGACCAAGACGCTATTCACTACATGACCGAGCAGGCACCTGCAGCCGTAGTGGAGGTAAGGTCTCACACGCACATCAGTGGTTATGTTCACTGGCTTTTTGGCACTAAAAAAGATTGTAAGTCATTAAATTACAATATACAGCATTCAATTTGGGGAAAAAATGTTTGCACACAAGAGTACTTCTCAGTCCAGAGTATGAGATTGTGTTTCGTAAGATATGGATATATCTTTGTAATAGTTAACATGTTAAAGCTGCATCTAAAAATTAAGAGGTGGGTTAAGAAAGCAAACAGAAAACAAATGCAAACAATAAACCATCTATTTGACTTAACACTGTGTAGACGTATATGTGTTCGGGGTGAAACGATACACATAAGTCACTGGGCGATACATAACAGGAACAAATACATGGACCGTTACAGTTTGTATGAGCTGTTTAAAAAAAAATTAAGAGAACTAATTTTCATTCTGGTGTCGCACCATCACAAAGGCTCTTTCCAAATCTCAACAACTTGCTGCTCTTTTCCAGCTGGAGAACTTTGGCATGCCGTTCAGCCGCACTGAGGATGGGAAGATCTACCAGAGGGCTTTTGGGGGTCAGAGTCTCAAGTATGGAAAAGGAGGCCAGGCCCACCGCTGCTGCTGTGTCGCAGACAGGACAGGACACTCCCTACTGCATACACTTTATGGACGGGTAAGTCAACACACCTTCTCCATCATTTCTTCTACTTGGCTCATACATAAAGTACCACGAATTACCCTTTAACCCTCTGTCTTCTGTTCAGTCGCTTCGTTACGACACCAATTACTTTGTGGAGTACTTTGCCCTGGACCTGCTGATGGAAAATGGAGAGTGTAAAGGAGTGATTGCTCTCTGCATGGAGGACGGATCTATTCACCGCTTCAGATCCCAGAATACTGTCATTGCTACTGGGTAGGTATACCATTCACTGTTGGCAAAAAAAAAAAAAAAAAAGTACACACCCTTTGTCTTCACCCTTACTTCAATGAACTGCCATAGTTTGAGAGTCAATATGAGACAAAGCACAAAAGTGTATGAAATGAGTTATATCTTTCCTTCCAGGGGTTATGGAAGAACCTATTTCAGCTGCACATCCGCCCACACTAGTACAGGAGATGGAAATGCAATGGTGACCAGAGCTGGCCTGCCCTGCCAGGATTTGGAGTTTGTACAGTTCCATCCCACTGGTAAGAAAAATTTACTTATTAAACCCAAGTCGTAAAATTGTCGTACTGACGCGTGAAGGCAGCAAAGTAAAAGCAGAATCTTATTTTGAAAGGCTGCATACCAGCAGCTATACATACATACTTAACGGACATGTCTATATAATTTATAGCAATGTCAACTAGTAAATGTATTCTATCAATGAACGTTCAATGTCCGTTATTTTATTGTCACGCTGTAAAGGGGTGTTGAGACTAATAGTGTCAACTGTGTTTCATTCTCAGTCTGTTTGGCAGTTATTATCATTCTCCGTTCCTCTTTGCGTTTTAATTTTACCACAGACATATTAAGAGACACTGAGAGGTGTATGGACTAATTACCTCTGGTGTAATGCTTGGACAACTTGTTAGTGCATTAATTCAATGCCCGTTGTCCCATTTACTATATGGGACAGTAACGTATCTTGTTTATTTACACTCGGAGGACTTTTAAGTTAATGAGTCGGTCTGGCATACATTTATTTCAGCTCCCTAATTCTGGGCTGATCCATGAGTCTGTTCAGGCCTCTCTGTTTACATTGAGATCCAAAAACAGGTTGCTGTTAAATAAAGACATGTGGTCGTCTTTATTTTTGTTCCTGCTGGACATTTGACACCAGACTCCTCAGTCACCCTGTGATGTGGCCTGTAGGAGGAATCACAAGGCTCAGCCACTGCAGAGTTTTCTCAACTTTTTATATGTGATGCACCAACTTTGCAGCATACCTTCTTTATACAGTTTGAATATCGAAGGGATCCATAAAATCCTTTGACTGTGGAGACTGGAGTATGCCATCAGAACGATTACGACTTTCTCATTAGTCAGCCCATAAAACTGACACTTTAATGTGAGTACACAACACTGAACGACAACGAGAGCCAAAATCATAATATCCAAATGTTTTTTGTTGTAGAACATAATAAAACAATAAAAAACAGCTTAAGAAGTAGTAGCTGAAGGGATTGTGTAAAATGCTGTCAGGAAGTCAAGAGTTTTATATTAGAAAGATCTTGATTCCTTTTATTTTTTAAACTAATGCACTGAATGAATTTGAGCACTAAATACAATTTGAGGTTAAAAAAATGTAATGTAAATATTAGTGCTGGGCAACGATTAAAATTTTTTATCGCAATTAATCGCATGGATTTTTTGCGATTAATCGCATTGTTATGGCAAAGTTCAATAATGAATTCAAAAGTAGTGTATTGCGCACTTTTATTTTAAAAGTACTGCTCTATGAACAATAGGGCAATAACATTTGGTTTGTAAACACTTTAAACACATCAGGTGCTTTTTAACAGCAGTTCTATCTCTTCACTACCTGTGCTCAGTGTGCTGACTCAGTGTGAAACGTTCCACTGCTGTGCAACAGGAATAAAATGTTTCAGCACGTCTCAGCAAAAATGTGTGTCTTGTGTCTTCATGACACTCAGAGCATGTGAATGCAGCTCTACTGTTCATCAATATAATGCTGTAACTCCGAGGTAATGATGGTTACCCAGCGATCAAAGAATAGACACTTTACCCACAATTTAGGTGTATTTTCCCTTTAACTCACGAGATGCAGCATGTTTTATACTTAATGTGAATATAATTCATACTTTGTTGGCATCTTATTCTGAAGACCGGATGTTCGTCTGAAGAAACCGGATGTTGTCTCACGTTAATCTTTCCGCTAGCTTTCAAAGTCCTTCGCTCGCTCCCGATCTGTGCTGTTTAAATGCGTTTACTGTGAATTTCAGCATATAGGTGCACTAAAATGTAAGTGTCTGCTGAGTTGACCACGGAGATCTGAGTGTCTGCTGACTTTACCGCAGCGATGTCCAGTAGTCTCCATTCCTCCACCGCTGCCAGTGAGCAACAGACTTCCAAAATAAAAATAAAAAAATGCGTTAACACATTATAAAATAATTGTCGGCGTTAATTAATGAATGCGTTAACGCGATAATAACGTGTTAACTTGCCCAGCACTAAAATATCCATATCACTGTTAAGTAAATAACGTGCACATTTTAGTGCACTTTTATTGTTTCATAACAATAAAGTTTTGAGGATTTTATGTTCACAATGTTGACTTTATGCTTCTTTGTAGTTGCAATGTGGTTCAAATCTATGACATCAATCATACTGAGGATGACGTTATTACTATGAAGTATTTTCATTGCAAAGATAACTGCTTTTTACTAGTTTACTATTAAAATATTCTTTGTTTGTGTTCATCAACACAAACGAAGGAATAAGGTATCGAACATAAAACACAATTGTTGTACTAAAAACCCAGGATTAAGCTCAAAGTTATCTGACTACAACACGGCTATTTTGAGACTGCAATATTCATATTCACAAAGAATAACTGAACTGTGTCCCTTTTTTAACACGTGAACCTTTACAGGGATCTACGGAGCTGGTTGTCTCATCACAGAGGGTTGCCGTGGTGAGGGAGGGATCCTGATCAACAGTGAGGGAGAGCGCTTCATGGAGCGCTACGCACCCAATGCCAAAGACCTGGCCTCCAGAGACGTGGTGTCCCGCTCCATAACCATTGAGATCAGAGAGGGCCGGTAAGGACAAAATATATACGTGTGTGAGATATAACTGCATGTAAAAAAGTGTTAATCCTTGCACACACTTACATCGTATCTTTATTCCTGTTTGTCTTTGTTCCCTCAGGGGTGTTGGTCCAGATAAGGACCACGTGCACCTTCAGCTTCACCACCTGCCTCCCCAGCAGCTGGCCACAAGGCTGCCTGGTATCTCAGAGACAGCCATGATCTTTGCTGGAGTCGACGTCACTAAAGAACCCATCCCTGTCCTGCCCACCGTTCATTACAACATGGGGGGAGTACCCACCAACTACAGGGGACAGGTCGGTCCACACAGTCGCGTAGATCCACACACATCTCCTCCTCACTCTCTTTTAAGTACTTCACCGACAAAGTGACACGCCTTTGTTTTTTTTCCCTAACAGGTGATTACTCATACCGACGGAAGCGACAAGGTAGTTCCTGGACTATATGCCTGCGGCGAGGCGGCATGTGCCAGTGTCCACGGTGCAAACCGGCTGGGTGCTAACTCTCTGCTTGACCTGGTGGTGTTCGGCAGAGCCTGCGCCCTCACCATCGCGGAGGAGCACAAACCTGGTGATGACCTCTGTTCATTAGTTTAATTAGAATGAAGAGTCTCTTTAGTTCTGCTTTGATTTGTTTTTTTTTCCATATTTGACACTACAATGTCTGTATCAATCAAAATGGATAAATATTAGATATCAAATATCACCACTACTTTGTCAACATTTGAGAGCTTTACGAACAGGATATCTGACATCAGTAGTACACATTACCACATGCTCACTCTGGTGGTGTTGTTGTTTCCTCTTCAGGAGAGAAACTGTCCCCTCTGATGCCCAGTGCAGGAGAGGAGTCTGTGGCCAACCTGGACAAGCTGAGGTTTGCTAATGGAAGCATGAGAACGTCCGAGATCAGGCTCAACATGCAGAAGGTACACACAAAACATGCACACAAACAAAATGAGGTCGCTAACATTAGAGACATTATTTGGAAATGTGTTTGACAAAAGTGTAGGTACACCTGATCAAAAGCACAGATTAAGTCACTGTACGTTAGACGCTGTGTTTCTTTCACTGAGCCCTGCAGACACTTCTATAGACAAACTTAAATCATCCATCTCTTCTTCCCTTACAGACTATGCAGGCCCATGCTGCAGTGTTCCGTACCGGCTCTGTTCTGAAGGAGGGATGCGACAAGATGGACGCCATTTACCAGACCATGGATGACATCAAGACCTTTGACAGAGGTAATGCCCCACTGTCTGTGACTGTCTGTTTACAGTTCCTTCTGCATCTTTCTGCAAAGAGGTGTCCTAGTATTATTCATCATGGCTTTAGGTCATTTGTTCAAGCTCAATGGACGCCTACAGGGACGGACTTGATTCCAACACGCTTCACAAAAACAATGCATTTCTTGAAGATCTAGGTTTGTGTTGCAAATGTGCTGTGCATTACCTTTGTAACAAAATTATGAAACTATAGTTTGCAAAGTACTCAAAAGCCAAGCGGTTGAAAAATACTTCTAAATGATGACGGACATGCGGTGATTGAGTCATTTAGAAGCTGCGAAGCCTTGTAGGTCGGAACCAAAAGGTCTCCTGCAGTATTACTCTGTGAAGCATTGTAAGTGATAAAATGACTTCCCCTCTCTCTCTCTTCCAGGCATTGTGTGGAACACAGACCTGGTGGAAAGTTTGGAGCTGCAGAATCTGATGCTGAACGCCGTCCAGACCATCCACTCTGCTGAGCAGAGAAAGGAGAGCCGCGGAGCCCACGCCAGAGAGGACTTCAAGGTCAGTTGGACCACACTTTGTACTCTGTGTATATGCGGTTTCTTTATCCATTGCTTTGTTTTTGCAGTGATTTTTCCTCTGCTTCACCATTCTGTCAGTGTTCTCCTTTTCTTTCTGTTATTCTCTGCTTACCTTAGATTTAGATCAATCGCCCACTGTTTGCTCCGCACATTCATTCCATCGCTTGATCTGTTCTTTTCTGAACTGACTTTGTATTTCTTTTTGTGTTCGTGGATAACTGTGTACATAACTTCTCACTCTGTATTGCAGCTGATATTGATTTTCTTTAATATATTCCAGGACCGTCTTGATGAGTTTGACTTCTCAAAGCCCCTGGAGAGTCAGGAGAGGGTGCCCTACGAGCAGCACTGGAGGAAGCACACTATGTCCTACGTCGACCCCAAGACTGGAAAGGTACGATCCCACTCAATGTGTGTGTTGTAACACTTACAGCAGGCTGCTGTAGTTACCATTATTAACTTTGCAGGCCTGAATAGTCAGTAATATGTGATTTATCCATTGTTCTTGTCTCATCACAGGTGACCCTGGAGTACCGCCCTGTTATCGACCACTCTTTGGACGAGCAGGTCTGTGCCACTGTCCCTCCTGCCATCCGCTCCTACTAAGAAGATCTCCTTTCCTCTCACCCCTTACAAGCAATTCACTCATTTATATACTATTTATGAAGATGATGATGATATCTGGGACAAGCTTTGCTTATGGTTGCACATGTATCCATTTATGATGGTTAAATACAAATCTGTCTTGTCTTTAAACTCCATCCCTTTATCTCCCCTTCCTTGTTCCTCTGTGTGTTTTGCCTTGATTTAATCTGCGTGCAGCAGATAGATATCAACATGGTTCTTCTATGTATTAGGAGGCACTCAAGACTAGTGGGTGACTTTTCAGCCTCCAGCTGAAGTACAAAAAATATTCACCAAGTGTTGCACCACTTAAGTTTGGTTTTCTGTGATGACCCCATACTCACATTTACAAGTCTTGTGTTGCATTCTTCAATTATAACTTCTCTCCTTTTGCTTTCTAAAGTGAAGAGATGGTGTAAATTATTGCAATTTGAAATACACATGTATGGCAAGCCACAAAGGGATGTTTTAAGTATGTAAATATTGCTTAAATGTACAATAAACATGAGTTATACTAAATGTACTTGTTGAGTATGAGGTAGTCTGTCCTCACTCAGTATGGCCTTCGGTCTGTGATGCTTTTGCTGATACTTCATGCGTGTGGTCCAAACAACAAAGTACATCTATTTCATGTGCAGTACATAATCAGCTGATAAACTTAATTGACCTTAAGTTATCTGTAATTCTTAACTCCTAAGGTTAAGCAGCTTGATGTAGTATGTATTTAGCCAAAATATGGTGTCACAGCTGTTGATACAATGGTTTCTTTATACATTTGGTGTTGCTTTCTCTGAGAACACAAGATAAGTTCCATTAAGGGTCAGTGACGTAAACAAGGGTTTTGAGGTTGCTGACCAGCGTTGTTCCAGAAGCAATGAATTGTTCACCAACATTGGTGCCAACTCTGAGTACTTCAAGAGCACTTGAGATAAGAGCGGTTTCCATTAAACAAAACTGTGGAATGTAGAATTGATGGGAAAAATCGACTAACTGGAACTCCACCAATGACTTTGAAAGATGTACTCGGTGCTGTAACTTGACTGTATTGCACAAATTGTACTGTATTTAACTGCTGAAAGGGAGACTTCGTTTGTTTGCCTGTTTTTAAAAAGCTTTGACTTTATTTTCCATCTGTACTTATTTGCATATGTTCAATAAAGCGTAGCCTGCATAGAAACAAGAGCTTTTGGCTTGTCTTTGACCAATGGGCAGGGAGTGGACACAACACAGACACCTGCATATTGCTATGCAGTAACAGAGCCCTTTAATCAATGCCACATTTACATAACCATGGTGAGTTTTGTTCAGACTGTCTCAGACACACATTCAATCTTGTACTTCTCTAGTTGTATTGACTTGCATGTTTATTGTGTCCAATGCTTGTTTATGGCCAGTAGGAGGCAGCAGACAGCACATTGTTGAGCCAGAAGCACTGCAGCAGCATTACAGCTGTTGTTCATGAACAGCATGCATGTGTTCTCGACTCTACGGCTGCTCCCTTGTAATGCCTGTTCGTTATCTTACCGCATCAATATTGCTGTTTAACATTACAATAAAGGAAAGTAATATTACAGCCCATCTGTTAACCGTGTTTTTACCTTACTGGAAATTCTGCAGGAGGAAGTCGATAATCACTGAACAATGAAGTTTCCCGTTTCATATCCTGACCAGCTGTAATAGCCAAACCCAGAAAGGGCGGTGCTGAAAGGGGTGGAGGTTGTTGGCACTCTCGATATTAGCCCGAATGAAAGGATTGTTGTGAGTAAAGAAAGGAAAAACAAAACTGTTTGTACCTTTGTACAGGTGGGCTGATTCAACACAGGCAGGTACCTGTATGAATACTTTCTGAAACATGATCAGCATGGTGTGATCTTATCAAACCATGATCTCATACCAGAAAACCGTCAGTACACCACCATTGAAAGCAAATATGAGTAAGAGCACACATAGAGAAAGTCACTGCATTGAGGTTCACGGCATCAAATGTGGGCGCAGACGATGGATGTTTGCAGCTTGCACTTGGTTATGGGCACGACCAGTCGAGTGGTTAGAAAGAGCTGAACTCATATATTTTAAGTATGAATTATGGTTAATTTTATGGATGTTTGAGCTTATGATAAATATACAACACAGTTAAGTGTAAAATAGAAGCTACACACTGCCATGACATATATAATGTAATGTGTTAAGTAACGCTTTTCTTTAAAAGTAGGAATTTTGCAACAGTAGCTTTCTTATTAAAATACTTCCATTCTTCATCTCTCTACATGTACTATACAAACCACCTTATTGAACCAGACATTTCCGTAAGGCACCATGTGAATGTTATATTACCACAGCGCGGCTCGTTGCTACTCGTGATCCTTCTCAAAACTCGTGTGTAGCGAAGCAACCACAAGACTGTTGAGCACAGTGGTTATACTGTAAGCAAGCTGCAAGCTACTTGACACATGTCGGTGGTCTATTTCCGATGGAAGATGGATTATGGTAGATTTCAACGGCTGTAAATGTGTCAAACCTGTGCCACCGTAGCACCTTGCTCCTCTTTGTCAAGCAGTTGACATCATCAGAAACAGGGTCTCCTGCGTGCTCAGTCAGCCTGCACTGCGTCTTTTAAAGTTAAATGACAGATATTGGCTTTTATTAATGGCTTCCATGCAGAGAAGGTGATCCAGGCCTGCAGAGAATGATTCACCACAGACAACTTCACTTTCGCTAAATCACTGTGCGCGGAAGGAAGACAAATCAGATGCATTTATAACCGAAGCTCATTTGCAAAAGAGAAAGAGCTATCAATCTGTCAATCCTTTCCGTGTCCGGGCCGGGTGAGGTTTCCCGTGTTGAGTCAAATTAAGCCGCAGGCTCCACTCCTGGTGGTGCCCTTCCGTCAAGGGCTTTAAAAATATAGAGTGCAAAATAGGCAGCTATTTTTTTTAATTTTATTTAACCTTTATTTAACCAGGTGAGTCCCATTGAGATTAAAAATCTCTTTTTCAAGGGAGACCTGGCCAAGACAGGCAGCAATATAAGAAACACATAGTTACAGACAGAAAACACCAAACAAGACAAGTTAAAAGAAACTAAAAGTTAAGGAGTTAATTTAAAAAACATTGACACTTTTGGGAACCTGCCTCTATTTCTTGCAAACACAAGTTAAATACAAAACACTTATTATAAGGAATCCTCCATTAAACTGGATGAAATCAAAAGGAAAGCCACATAATGATAATCCATGAATACATGCCTGATCACGCTTCAAAAAGCTCTTTTAACAAATGATCCCAGTTGTGATCCATTTTGAGCTCAGTGGTTAAAATAAAGTCCCCTTAAAAATAGAAAACCACATGTACAAGTTGTCACAACACGTTGATCCAGTTGCATTACTTCATCATATGAAAAAGGAGAAAATTAAACATGTTTGAGTATAGTCAACAGGCCAGCTGCTCATATCTGGTCCCAAACAAAGAGATCTCATCCTGGTTAGTCTGATCGCAAAAACTCTAGGTACAAAAAAGAATGAGATAAACCTGTAAAGTATATTGAGCCTTGTCAGATGTCTGGTGTTATACAAGCAGTAAATTCATGATGAAAAAATATAAACAGATATTAGGCCAGTAGGATGTAGGAGAAGAACGTTAAGAATATAACGTAATTATGCCAGTACTCCTCCTTCTAATTCTTGAAGGACATTAAGTTGTGTCCAAGGAAACAATGAGGGAGGGGCTGTGAGAGCAGGAAACCGAGGCGTATCATTTACCGAAACAGCCTTGGATCACTTTCATTAAGTCATAATGACGCACCAACGTTTCTCCAGACCTTAGTCTCTACTCCACAGCTGTAGTGCTGTGTCATGTCAGTTTGTTCTCTTGCACAGCTTACATAATGTAGTAAAACAATTCTGTGTTGACAATAAAAACCCTGTCGCAGTTATAATGTCTGCACACAAAGGGTACTGGCAGCTTCAGGCTAGCCTGAGATGTTGACTGAACAAAAGAAAAAAACATTCTTCCACAACAGGGTGACTGCAAGTTACTTTTAAGTTTATTAAGACCTTTTAATACCACACAGAATGCAATATAATACCTGCCAAAGCATTATAGTACGATTGAAAACCTCTAGTGAAGGTAGTGCCTAGAATTGTCTATTATTATATCACATTCTTGCAGTCCTTCCCTGGAACCTGAGCCTCTACCTGAAATTGGGAGGAAGCCACTTTTCTCCTCCAACTCAAGAAACTTCTGCTACAGAGACAAACTGAAATAGTGAGCTTTTTTTGTTTACCACTTCAATTGTATACAGACGCACGACTACATGTGATTTCAACTTGAGGCACCAATATTTAAAGTCCACAAAGGTATGTTTGTTTGACTGCAGAGTGCACATTTGTTGTCTGATACACTGCTTGAGACCAGCCTTTGATGGATGCAGTTAAAGTTTAATAGTGCCACTCTCAGAGAGCTGGACTTCTAGGCTCTGGACTCTGATACTGGTCAGATATAAATCATCTAAACAGAGTAGACAGCACAGAGTCTTTTTTCATTCTCAATATATTCACTTTATTTTTAAAGAAATCTGTTGTACAGTAAATCTTACTTTTTTCAGCTTTGGTTAATAAAAGAACATACAAACATTGCATGACAAACAACACCAATACACATAACGATATGCTTTTAAAATAGAGCCAGAGCCACTGATGGAGCAACTGGCTGAGTCAGCCATATTGGCTCTGCTGTTGCTAAATTTCTGCAGATTTTATGTGAAGCTGTGAATTCCCGTTCAGCTGGAATAAAGAGGAGGACTTTGGTGTAATTCAAAGAGGAGTAGATCACCTTGTAGTGTGCACTCTCAGACCCCGTACACAAACAGGCTTAACATCTCTTCTTTCCCTTGTTCAGCAGGAGCCATTCAAAGCCAAATCTCTACTTCTGAGAGTATTTTTGAAGTATCCTTTGGTTAGTAGTATGTTATTCTATGTTTGCATACTTTTAAGAAAGCTAGAGGTTGTTAAGTGAATATTTACAGCCAACAATTCTGCTGAAAGGGCAGCAAAATGTCCGCCATCATACAATCAGACAAATCTCAATCTTTGAATTGCAAAACTGAACAAACCTCAGCTCAAGATATATTTTGACACACTACAAACTATGTATTGATAATCATTTACTATTCAAACACGGATTATAAAAGACTTTGGATAATAATACATGTGTGGTGGAGCAACACTGATTTACGGTGAATTTATAAGGCATCAAATTTGGAAAAATATATCTTTTGTTGATTTTTGATGTGTGATAACATAGTAAAAGCAAATCACAGACACAACAGATGTTGAACAAATCTGAATATTTGGAAGGTTGTACTGGTTACTCTCTACAGTGTTGGAGAGTAATGGATGACATGGCCATCTTCTGTGGATTAATATATCAATAACCTTCAGCCAATCTGGGGACTTCAGGGTTCCACATTTTCAACTCAAAATTCTTCCTGATGACCAGGAATGTTCCTCATGTGGTCTAATTACCTGAACTAGAAATATGGGAAAGATGATGAAACAGATTTAGTGAAATGAACCTGCCACAACGGCAATGTAAACGATGGTGAGGATGAAGAACCCGATGCCGAGTCCCAGGCCCACGTGGTTCAGTGTCCTGGCCATCCTGCTGCTCCGCTCCGCCGAATTCTGGTCCCCGGCATGGTTGGCTTCACGGGCCTGAAAAATATTTTGAAATCGATATGAGTGAGTTTAAAGAACAAAACATGTGAAAGAATGTAATTAAACTTGTGTTTTTTTGACATTAGGTTAGATTTATGTACTGAATAACCAGACATGTGCATCACATAATAGACGTATGTAGTATAGTATGGGCAAGACCTGCAGTGCTATGCTAGCAGGCCATGCATTCAACCCTATGTACATAACTCTGCTTGACTGGGGCATTAAGTGGCCATTACAGGTAAATGATAAAACGTAGTGCAATCCAAACCTCAGTAATACAGCAACATCTATCTTTAGTTTGCAAACATCAGCTAACATTAGCCAGCATGAGCTACTGGTCATACCAGACCTAGTGTGGCTAACGCAACAGAAATTCAATTAAAGAGGGTATGTTGTCCTTATGAATTCAATGTTAAACTTACCTCTTATCTAAAATAAAGTGTTGGTACGCAAAGAGAAATACCTTAAAGATAAGATAAAGAGTCTTGTCTGGCTTGGTGGAATAGCATGACTTAGACCATGTCCACAATAATATAGTGTGGAGAGACATGCATTAATATTATTAATGATGTATTAGTAATACGGATACAATTAAAATGTATGAGTAATATGGTCATTATTATAATATATTAGTAATATGTAAATAATTATAATATATTAGTAATATAGATAGAATTATAATATTTTAGTAATATGGGTATAATTATAATATATTAGTAATATGTATATAATTATAATATATGAGTAATATGTATATCATTATAATATATTAGTATTATAGATATAATTAAAAATGGATCTTTTTCACTCAACTTCTGCTTTCCATCTTCACAAAGTCTGTGTTTTTCACTTTGAGAGCAGAGTTTGTCAAAAACCCTCTGCAGTTATCATTTTTAATTGTTAAATCTTGTCTTCAACGACATGATCATGGACTAACAGTCATGTCTGTAAAAACATTCAGTGTATGAGAAACACACAGTTCTGATATTTGCCAACCGCTGAGCATAACTGAAACTAATCACTACTGGTTACATTTTCAACTGTAATCTATCAGATTTACAAACAAGTTTTGCTGAGATTTTGGTATAGTATCTAAAGCACACAGTCTCTTTTGAATACAAACTGACCAGGTGAACCCAGCTTTAATCTCTTATTTATTTCCACTATTCAAATACCATTTAGTGTGTAGATGAAGAAGGAAAAGAAAGACTGAATACAGATGTTTTCAGATAAACCGACACATGTGTAAAAAATGCACCTCAATATTGGGATAAAAAAACCCATAAAAGGACATAAGAAGATTGATTTCTTACAAAAGGAAATGATGAAGGTGGTTTTACTGGTGTCCAGTTTTATCAAAACATGTGCTGATAGATTTGATCATGAAGCAAGAGGCCTGTTGTGGGGTTAGTGAGCCCTGTGCCTTTATCAAGAGTGTAGCCAGAGAGCCTGAATCAAATCAAACCCCCACTCTCATTACCACACTGCTGTAGAGTGCTGCAGGAATGACGTGTTTTTGGAAGCCAGCCCCGAAAGGAGCATTGCACTTTTCCCCTTGACAAAAAGCAGATGGGATTTTTCCATTGGAATTTGGATTATTGCAGAAAATTAGCTCTGCTGCTAACAAAAGTGTATCATACTTACAGGTTTCGATCAGTAAGATAATCTTCACAAATGAACAACGCTTTCATGATTTTTGAAGCTGGAATGTAATTGGCAGAAGTTAAAAGCTAACGTTAGGTCGTAAACGGACTACACCACGGTCACATAAGTGAGATCATACACAATGAGGTGAAGGCGGACTAGTCGGTGTGATGAAGATTTTATATTCTCATTCAGCCACTTGTCAGACACGTAAAAGCTTCAAATCCATGACGAAGGTATTAACTGACATATTATGGAACAAAACGTTGACTTTGAGACGAGGGAACCAGAAGTGCAAAATGATAACTCTCAAATCCAGTCAGATACACAATAGAGTGCTGCAGGAATGTGTGTGTGTGTTTTGTAGGTGTCATGAGAAGGCCCTGTCTGCTCTAGTAAAGCTGGTTATGATAACCAGCACCTGTCTGGCTCACTTTCAGCCACAGCTGTGTATCCTGTTGCAAAAACCGTGCCTCTGTTGCTTTTGGTAAATATATATTTCTTTCTGTTTCAACAAGATTAGATTAGATAAAAGTCTGTATCAGGGAAAGATGCTGTCTGGAGCTGTTAGCCATGGGGCTCAGCACTGTCACATCACTACAAGGTTTGTTGTAGTGATGGTTTATTGTTTTATTCATTTATTGTGGTGAAATGTTATGGAATTTGGATAATAAATAAAACGTGTTACTGTGGTCACTTATTTTTTCAACACCTTGATGCTTCCTTCTACCTATGACAACATGTAATATAACTCAACAATAATAATAGAACATTGACCCCTCAAAGTAAATCAATTAGATGCAATCGCCCCTATTGTCCTCCGTCGAGATGATATTTTTTACATTGTTTCTATATCAGTTGTTTTCATCAACAGGTCTGTAAAACTGAGTATCTCCACAAATAATCACACAAAAGCACCCACCACTTTAAATCTGTAATAATTGAATTAATATTAATTGTGCTTTTGTTCCAAGCAACAACAAAAAAAAGGAGCAAACAGCAGTTAGTACCAAATTACACAAGTGTTACCAGGAAATGATTAGGAAAAATGAACACAAACAGTCTTAACTATGGGAGAAACCACAGGATGAGCAGGTGTCCATCTCTGGTTACAAAATAACAAAAGAAAAAGCCTCTTGAATCCTCTAAGAATACAAGGTTTTCTGAAATGCCCTGTAATAAGTTTAATATTGAAGGTTGTTTGATAAAAATAAAAAGCTTGACTCGGGGGGGAATATTTTAGGAATAGCTGCTTGAATGCATCTTTGGATCACTATATTATATTATACAGACTGATACAGTGGTGCTTTAATTGTATTTGATGCCTCTTCCTGCTTCTGCTTGTTTGGCTGCCTGCCAGCAGTAATATCTGAGTGCTCTGTCTCTGTGAGTGGGCCTGTCTGATGGCCAGTGTCTGTCTGTCTGTCTGTGGTTTGCTGTGCATGAGAGCAGCCTGAGTCATTGTGGGGAAGGATGGGGATGGGAGAGCACGGGCTGATATTTGTGAGAAAATCACAGTGAGCAGAAGTCAATGGAGCTGATGAAAGAATAAATGGAACCGATACCAAAATCCTGCAAGGGCTTTCTCACGCAAGACAAAAATAAAGTCACAATGGCGGAGGATCTTTCAGTCCGTCCGTCTTCGCATCACTTTGCTAAAAACCTCCCCCATCCTTAGCCTTCATTCCAACCTGACTCAGCCCCGAGCCTTCATCTGATATCGCTGAAGGCGAGCTCAAAGGAGGAGACGCATTCCACTCTGTGACACCGCTCGCTCTGGTTTGCACACACGTCCCTGTTTTCGTACTATCACAGTTACATACAGATGCAGGGACACGGCAACTGTGTTCTGCAGGTGCTTTTTAGGAAACCAGAGATCATGTGGCTGCTGTTGCTTATGGAGGCTAAACAGGCGTAGCCTCAAGGCCGAAGCCAGTTTCAGGGAGGCCTGCCTACTCAAAGTGAGCTCTGTGCGATTTTCAACTTCAAAGGTCCACTGGGTCGGTCTTTAAAACCTCCCTTCTGTGAGGTATTATAATCTGACTCTCTGGGGGGAAACCCACAGAAGAGAAAGAAAATCACGACTCTGATTAGGCTCTGATTAACCAACTGTACACTATGTACACAGCACCTAATGTCACTGGTGAACACAGTGGAGCATTATTAAAACAGCTAAGTGAATATTGGACATAAATTCATCAAGACACAAAAGTAAGTCTAATATTAAATCCACATCTCCAAATGAGCTGATATTGCTCTGTGTGTAAATATTTGACTGTTTGGTATCACGTTTAATACAAACAGAAATTCAACAGTACTCGTATACCTCAGAGTCAAAGCCTTCCAGTAAACAGATATGATTATGATCACTTACAGCACGCCATTCTGCTGAGTCCTTCATGACCTCACAGCCATCTTGACTGGCAGACAACAGGTGTTTGACTTCATGTTGTTCTCTGCAGCTCAATGGTTTAACACATAGCTGCCTCCAGTGGGACATTAATCCCTAAAACTGGCAGCCTAACAGCGTGCAATGCTCTCTAGAAAAGCAATGCATTCCTAAGAGTTATATTTGGACTCATTCTGATGGGAAATGGTTGCAGGCAATATCTCAGGAAATGGGGAGCTGAATAGTGTAGCGTGTTAAGGGGAGCAAGCGGATATTATCTCATGGTGAAACTATCCCCCGAAATACAACTACAGTGCAACAATCATGTTGTTCCTGGACCCTGATGTAGAGCTATTTCATCATTTGGTGAGTTAGAATTTGACTTCCATACTTCGTCAGACATTATCAAATTTGTATTTATATATTTTAAATACATTTTAAAATCAGAAATGTTATTTTGCATGTGAATTCTTTTATCTATAACATGTAATAATAAATGTCCCTAAACATGAGGGTTTCACTGTATTATTGCAGCACTGTGTTTCTGCAGAAGGACAGGAAGTGCAGATCATGGCTTCACACTGTAAGGACGTTACTGTCTGGATGTTCATCCACTGTCGATAAGTGCTAAGCTTTAAGGAAAAACTCATGCTTTGGGAAACAAAGGGCCGCTTCATGACGCTGTCACAGAAGCCCGGAGTGGCTTGGAGTGAGACACACGGAGCGCTGATGTTGGATCCTGACAAAAGTGACTGTTGTCCGAACTCGCCAGTCGCTGCTGTGTTGAGAACTTCAACTCTCAAGTCTCATCCTGAGTCCAGCAGAAAGTTATTTCTCTTCATTATCAAAGTCCCCCAAAGAGAGAGCTGACACACAATGGTGCAATTAATTATCGTTCTCAGAATCAGAATCCTTGTTGTTGAATTATATTGTCCAAGTATTGCTTTTCTCGGCAGAAACA